TTAATGTCAAATTTGGTATCTCAAAGTAAAAGAGATAGGTATAGGAGTAATAAACACATTTTGTACCCTTACGTTGTGAATAAAATATCTAAGTTCATTTTCCAGTCATTATAAATAAGGTCCAATATCATAGAATATGTAAGCAAGCAGATAAAATGGATTAAACATAATTTATCTGAATATAAATGCATTCATACAACATGCAAGGTGAATTATTAATTCTGTCATGCATATTTAAAATTAAAATGAGTTTGTTAACCACATAATATAATAAATCTCAATCGAATAAGAGATCATTATCATTATTAATGAACAATCCCTTTTAATTAATGCGGGTCCCTCAACTCTGTAGCATAATAAATCAACCAATCAATATGTCAATAACTTATCCTGTTGGAGGAGTTCATTATTACTATTATTGAGATTCATTTGCTATTAAGCGAGCACTTTCATTAAAATAATAATATGTGGGTCCCTTAACCACTGCATGAAAAATCGAATAACCAATACATCAATAACTTATTCGGTTGGCGAAGTTCATTATTGTTATTGGCGGGCAAATCCCATCATTTCCATATCTCTTAAGACAATGCCTTGTCTATCTATATGAAATGATTTCCGATTATGTTTAGCCTTTCTAAAATCACCTAGTATAGACCACTCCGTTGGGGAGCTAACACTATTGATTTTAGATTGAGTGTATAACGTTATTAATGCTCTAATGAAAAATAAAACATTAAATATCTTGTCATTATAATCTAGACTCTTTAAATCATGCGTAGGGCCTTATTTTTAAAGATCTAATTACAATGAACATTTAATATTATTATTTTCATGAGATAACCATTCTTGTAATATTAAGACTCTTCAAATCATGCGTGGGGCCTTATTTTTGAAGATCTAATTACAATGGTGTTAATAACAAAGGCCATGGGGCGATGTATAAAAATCCCCGCTCCCACTCAATTTTTAATCATTCATAATTAGGGTTTTCATTTTATTCATTTACATGATATAATGCATGCAAAACGTCTTGATTTTAATCCAATTAAATTTAGAAAATATTTGGACTTTAAACGATTCACTAATATTTAATTTGAAGCACACTTTAAAAATAATTTACAAAAAAAAATAATTTTGCGTTTCTCAATAAGTGCCCTCAAATTAATTAGTAATCAAATCCAATTAATTTTCATAACTTAATTAATATAAATCAAGCCATTTAAATAAATATCATGGATCCAATGCATGAATAATAATTAATTAACAATTATATATTCCATGCATTTCATACATCGCATAAATAAACAAATAACAGATAAAGCAAATAAAATGGCCAATGGAATCAGCTTTTAACATTTAACCACTCTAAGTATTGCGCGAGGAGCATCCATCGGCTTGCAAACACCCACATAAGGCTGGTACGCACCGGGAGAAGCAAAACACCTCTTGGAACGCGCCTGGAGGGCCCCACACGCGCTTACACGCGCCTGGGGCATGCTGCAGGTGAAGGCACGCGCCCCCACGCGCTGGCACGCGCCTGGGGCGCGTGGGGCGCGTGGGACGCGCCTGCATGCGCGTGGAGGCCATACCACCTTGGCTGGCGCGTGCAATGCACGCGCAATGCACGCACCAACATATGTCTCCTCCTGGCGCGTGTTCCTCACGCGCCAGGCTCACCCCACCTGCACCACATCTGATCCCAGCCTTCTCCGACGCCTCTTCTCGCCGCCGGCGATACTTCGGCCACCGGAAAAACGCCGAAAAATTTCAGAAAAATTAGAAAAATTCCCAGAAAATTAAATTAAGCCTAAAAAAATTTCAGAAAAATTCCAAAAAATTCGGAAAAATTCTAGAAAATTACTGAAGCATAATTTAACCCTTTTGGACCTTCTTGAAGCTTCATAGCATCCTTTGACGAAGATTACATGGCTTTAAAAATATTTACAATTTGAAATACAATGGAAAAAAATTAAATTACATCATTGAACTTTCAAACGGCTAAATCAAAGCCTTAATTACATTCATCCAAAGATAAAATTACATTAATTTAACCTATAAGCTTCATCCATAGCCCAACCATACATCATCATTCATTCACAATCATTCATACATCATTATGTATCAATATATATCAACATATTAAATCATACATCAACATACATCAATAAAAATATATATGAATATAATTTTGGATCCATGAATGATGATTTTCATAAAATCATGATCTCTAGTAATGAATCAAACCATGCTCTGATACCACTATTGGGAAACGTGCAAGTTTTAAAAACTTTTCGAGGGATTTTGATTCATAGATCTTGATTCATCACATAGAGACAAGTTTTATGCAAAAATAAAAATATGATGTATCATTCAATTAATGGATTGAATACTTACATCAAAGGTCTGAGTAAACCTTTAAAACTTTCCTCTAAAGTGAATGTTCTCACTTATTGTAGATCCCTTAGCAAGATGCCTTCTCCTTGGATCTCCATCTTCTTGGTAATTGTTTTGCCTTTAGGAATCACTCATAAGCCTCCATGAATGACCTTGGAAAACTAGGCTTGTGGGAGCCTCCATTAGATGAGAATATAAACCCTAATTTATAGAGAGAGAAAAGTTATTCCTTTTTTCCTCTCATCAAAATCACCCTTAAAATATACATAGACCATGTATATTTATAGGCAACATAAAGGTAAAGAAAAGGAAACAACGAATCCTTCTCAATCTCTAATTTACATGTCTCAAATCTAATATGATTCCAATATCAAGTTGGGCTATGAGTGAGAATCCATTGGGCCTATTATTTTATTGGCTACAATGAATTAATGATTGGCCCGGTCCATGGACCCAATTAAATTAATTCATAAATTAATTTCTACTCCACTAAAAGAAATTAATTGAATTCCAATTAAATAATAAATAACCTCTAAGTCAATATTGCACTTTGACCCCTCTATGCATAATTAGTTATCGGATAAATATAGCCATCAATCCGACTACTTAATTAATATATTTATTTTGATACCTTTGATTATTTCTGGCTCGATCACAATAAAATATTTGTTTGACAAAAATAATAATTTAATAAATAAATATATAATAAATCATTTTGTCTAAAATCATACGAAGGCCTTCGAATTTACTTTGTGATCAACCATAATCAATACAAAATAAATACAAGTAGCAATGATGCAAATATTGAAAATATAACCCTCTAACTATTAATTACATAACTATCCGAAGTGTCGGTCTAAGAATCCCGAAGAATCCGCCGAACAAATCAAAGTAATTATTAATTAATAAAAGAGTCTATACTTTTCTCATGCTTAAGAGTCAAATACCATGACGGTGATAGGGAGTAATTGCATACGATGGCTCTCGCAATATATCTCAACCTAACGCGGATCCTGTTCAAGTCTTAATTAATTATGAGTCCATCCATAATTACCGACTATGAACAATTTATAATTACTATTTATATATCATGCATTGATTGCCATCACATACATATATATAAATATTTCTTGTAATTACATGGACACTATCAATTTCATAGTGAATCGAAATATAATACATTAAATTCACCAATTGTATAAAACATAAATATTTCAGAAACGTCAGGAACATATGTCAATTAATCCAAACAGGAATTTGCTATGCCAGGGCATATAAATCCCAACAGTTATATCCTCCGGTTCATCATACCCATCTTCAACATAGTCCCATAAATCATATGAAAGAAAAATGGTCTTCATCTTCACATACCAAAAATCATAATTTTCCCAATAAAAAATGGGAAGTGCTGATTGATGGGCACCTTGGTTTTGATTACTTGTAGTCGCCATTACGATCAATCTTCTTCAGAGTTTGTTTTCCCGTCAATAAGCTTCACGCCCAGTTTGCTCTTGATCGAAATCAAGCTTTGATACCACTTATGTTGGCTATAGTACGTTTCAACCAACTAAATAATTTCAATGTGAAGAGAGGAGAAGAATGAAGAAATAAATATTTTTCTGTATTGTATTGAATTCTTTGTTGTGTTGATTCTTAACAACAAATCCCTTATACTATATATACTATTCTCTCAAATGCCATAGAACTTTTCGAGACAATTCTCAACCACAATACATGCACTCACTTGATACATGTACCCACTTGATACTTGTACAATAACAGATAAATGAATAAACCCAAAATACACAATGAACATGGCATTAATTTAATTTTAACATTGCCATAGACCTCCACGAAAAGTGAGAAATTTTGCATACTTGGATCAATTCATAATATCACTATTTCTTATGAAATATTTATTTATTTTTAAGTTAAAAATATATATTTTAATAAGTATAGAGTTTATGTGTTTCAGAAGTCATTTTTTTGTTCACGTAAAAAAAAAAATAGTAATTGGAGGGCAAATATCACTAGCCTGATTTCATTAAAGTGTGTATATATATATATATATATATCCCTAATAGAATCATATAGCATCCAACATCTTGAATATGTCTTCTTTTTGGGTGAGGTATTACGTCTTGAACGCGAAATCATAATATAATATCCTAAACAAGAATTTGTTGTCAAGTTCTGTTTTTGATGAGATTTTCTTTTTTCTTTTTTTTTTATAAAAAAATTAAAAAAATAGGAAATAACACATGCTCATTGTTTATTTCATTAGAGATTTGAACTCTAGACTTTTTCTTTTGAAGGAGGATAAGCCCTTTCTAAAAAGTTCAGAATTTATCGTCAACCCAGCAAGAGAAAATCTGGAGAACTCATGAGGATTGAATTACATTATGTGAGAAGAAGCTGATTATGAGAAATGATAATTGATGTGAAGAGTATAATTTAGCCAGGCTTGTAGAAACAGGTGGTATTTAGAAATGAAACAGGTGGTACCGAAATTTATTCATGGTCATTGTGTCTAGCATTTACAGCATGAGTCAGTAAAGTGTGTGTGTGTGTCTATATATATATATAACATACATGATACATGATTGTAAGAAGAAATGTAAATCTACTAGAAGAACTAGTCTTCGGCTTTCCCAGAGTACACAAAACTGTAGGAGATAGAAACCCCAAGAGCCAGAAACACCATAGCAGCGATGCCCATATTCACCATCAATTGTCTGTCTTCACTCAGCCCTCTGGCAAGACCTCTCACTGTCTGTATATAACTATACAGTTTATTACCACAACCGTCTAAAATATTTATACCATCTGTTCGTTTGTTGTCACGGATGGTATTGTCTTCTTGAACCGGTCGAGGCATTGGCTCGGTTGCAGATTTTTGAGGGTTCGAAGGCCGGACAATGTTGGTATCTCTTTGCTTGTCATCCTCAGTTTTTCGGCCCTTCTTAGGCTTTATTGGAGAACCGTTTTGAGGCATTGGCTCGGGTTTTGGAGGGCTCGAAGGCTGGACAATGTTGGTATCTCTTTGCTTGGCGTTATCAGGTTTTGCTTGAATGTCTTCCTGAGGACCCTTCTGAGGCATTTGCTTGCTCGTGGCCTCTGGAGGGCTTGGAGCTTCGACTTTAGGGCTAACCTGGGGGGTGCTTTTCCTCGGCATTGTAATGGCAAGAGTTCCGCCCTCAAAATTGGCACGGATATCTCTCGTGTTGCAGTTTTCAGGAATGGGATAATCCTCCTGGAAACGGCTCCATTTGTTCGCCCCATCTAGGCGCTCCCCGGTAACCCTAAGTGTATTCTGGCCTTCAACTGAAATCTTAATTTGCTCACTCATAAAACCTGGAAGATTAAGCAAGAAACAGAAACACCATTATTAATATACATATATATGAGAAATGCTAGCTCCATGGTTCAAAGACATTAGACATATGCACTAGAAATTAAGCAGGATATAAGATTTATATATCTAACCCCAAGGGGTTCGCCTAGTGGAAAAGACTTAAGTCATGGAGCCTCACGATACTTTAGATCTGAAGTTCAATTCTTGCTACGTGCAAGCAATTCCTTGGGACACGACTACAGACATAGTTCGAGCCTTACCCGATCCGTATGTGTTGGATGTTGCACAGGTCTCACCTCGATTATAGATAAACTGGGGTGCAACACCAATTATCAAAAATAAAAAATAAAAAAAAAGATTTATGTAGCCAACTTCTCCAATGATGTCTAGAACCAATTTAACTCAGCAAACCAATTGTAGACAAACTGGGGTGCGACACCGATTATCGAAAAAAAAAAAAGATTTATGTACCCAACTTCTCCAATGATGTCTAGAACGAATTTAACTCAGCAAAATCAAAGAGTTAACAATTCTGGCTATCTCTAATTAATCAAATTTAATGATATAAATACACATTCTTCTAAAAGAACAACTATATGGTAAAGACAAAGTCCCAAGTCAATCATGTGAAATCTAGTTATGTTCAGTTACATGGAATTGGAGCTTTGGAATTGAAAAAAATTTAGTTCACTTTTATGTTGCTTTCAACTAAACTTTTCTCCAATTACATGTAGCCGAATATAGCCTCATTTAATTCTAATTTGAATTCTAAAACTGATTGGACGTCTTTTCTGTGAAAACTCAAGACATGTGATGCAAAGTTAAAGATGGTGTGCTCAACTAATGTTCAAAAAACAAATACTGATATATAGGGGTCAAGAAAGCCTCTCTATACAGTGGTAAGACTACAGACTGCATACAATATTTGACCCTCTCCACAGTTTGCAACGGCGAAAACTTCTTACACTAGATTAGCCTTAAACGGTAAGAGCTTCGTGCATTAGATTAGCCTTTTTATATACACAGAACTAAAAACTTTTCAGAAGTATTGCTTCATCTAAGTTGATGAGAAATTGTTAAAACTCATGTTTAATTAGGTGTCTTCAATATCTATCTTATTAAACTCTTATGAATTCAATCACATGCATGCACTAGCAATTTGGAAAGTGTACGTACCGGGAAGATAAACAGCTAGTATATCAGCTCCTTCTTCTTCTTTCCGTTCTGAGACGGGCTTAAAAACTTCAGGCCGCCCCATGGCGCGGGGAGGACGGGTCGGTGCGGTTCCACTGGTTCGAGGCGTTCTCGTTGCCATTTCTGTTCCTGTTTGCTGTGATCTTCCTCTCTCTCTCTGAACAAATTATAAAACTTTGAAATGTTTGATGAAATTGTTGGTTAGGTATTCTGTATTTATACATATATGAGTATATATGTGTGTGTGTGTGTAAGTGTGTGTACATGTAACACAAGTGATGAGAACTATATACAAGTTATTTGTTGTGTTTTCTTAAAAATGAAACTATTCCAATTTGGTCGCTTTGGTGTACCGTGTACGTTGTGTTTGAGGGCTTGTATATATGTGTGTGTGTACATGTAACACGAGTGATGAGAACTATATACAAGTTATTAGTTTTGTGTTTTCTTTAAAATGAAACTATTCCAATTTGGTCGGTGTGGTGTACGTTGTGTTTGTGGGCTTCATTTTGTCCCTTAGTCTAAGTATGACGCTATCTTGATTTTCCTGTGAGGATGAAGTAGGAAATTCTTTGTTTGCCCTATACTCCAGCCTTAATAACATAATACTATTAATTATTCTTCCACCACTTCTTATTCCACATATTTTTTACGAAATATCTTCCATCCAAGCTTATGAGTATATTTATTTATTCATGCCGATTAAATCAATGTTGTTCCACATATAATTGTAATTTATCATAGTAAATTAGTCCAATTGAAATCTTTAGCGTTAATCTCATACTGTTTATTTTCCTGATTTTATAATATTCTTGTCCTAAAATAAGTGTCCACCTTCTATATTTAATTGTCTTAAAATAATTGTGTCAATTCAAAAGTCTATGTACTATATTTTACAATATTCCCAACATACCCTTCTTTCATCACCACATTGTTGTGGCCCTCCACGGGTAAATTTGGTAATTAATTCACTACCACTACAATGAAAAAAAGAAGAGTGGTGAATAAAAGATAGGAAGGAACAAATTTTTTTCATTTAGTAGAGAAGATACATAGAAGGAAAAAAATGATGGATAAACTATCCTTTTTGATTCACAAATTTTCTTTCTTCTAAATTGTTGGGATCATATATGTACCCTAAACGCCCAATATTTACTGTTTATTTGACATTTTATTAATAAATGTGATTTATTAAATTAAATATTCATGCATTGGGTTATTTATATGTTTGCATGAGATGCATTATAGTCTTCAAGTTGCATTATAGGTCACTCAAGTGTGTAAATGAGATTTACACGTTGAAAATATGAGTTGTGGGAACTCAAATGATCAACATGAAATTCACACTTTTTATAAGAGTTAGAATAGCCCTTAATGCAAGTTAATAAATGAAAATAAAAATAATAAGTTTGATCACTGGAATCTGATCAGAGCATTTTAGTAAAATATTTACTAAATTATTTTTCTATTTATTTATTTAGAAAAAATATTTATTTAAAAAATTCTTTTACAAAAGAATTAAATTGAGTAATCATTAGGTTTAAATTGGTTATTCAAGGAATATAAGAAGTAAGTATGCCATAGGTGGGACAATATTTAATTTTCCTAAGGGCTACTTACCGATATTCTGTAGTGGAAGGGCTTATATATAATTATTTAATATGATATGGCCTTGTTATAATTTCAGAATCCTAGAGTGCAATTGCAATCTAGGATAAGAATCTCTTTTGATCCTCGTATCTAGCCTCGTTTATTAGATACGTACGACAGATCTCTCTCTAGTTATAATTATTCTGCAGTTACAAAAAAATATAGAATAAGATACATGAAGAGAGGGTTGTATAAACCTGTGTATCCTGGGGGTCGTAGAAGTAATCGAAGCTTCACTTGTGTTCAAAGCAAAAAGGAAAGGGTAATCGCGTATTTGGCGATTAACCAATCGTCTAAAGGTATGGGATCATTTTTAGTAGTTGTTGGTTTGATGAAAAATCACTTGATTAAGATTATGAAAATTTTAAAATTGCTTCCGTTTTGTCTTTCACAAATATGAATGGAAGAAAAGTATGGTTGTTGCAAATAATTATTAAATAAATTCAATTATTAGCAATCTCTCTCCCTTTCCCTCCTAACAAAGTAGTAGTTACTTCCTTCCCTTCTCATCCATCTAACTAAACAAATAAGGCTAGGATAATATACATTTCTCACCAATGTCCCATCCATAATTTTTTCCCTTTCTTCGTTTGTGCAATATTCGTTACCCATAGACTCCTAACTGCCATAGATGTTACGGGTGGGGGGCTTTGCACTTTGACTCAAAATTAAGCTTAGCCATTGACTTCCCGGGGAGTTATCTATCCCGGTACTACTCCAGGGTGTTGAATTTACATATAACACTTGTCCCATCCACACTTAGGCAGTGTGGGATTGTGCACATGTGGAAATGTATATATATGGGTTATATATTAGCCCCACCCAACTATTTAAACTTTTGAATTGGATTACGAAACACTTTTTCTGTTACAATAGACCTCCAGAAAAAGTAAGAAATTGTGCATATTTGGACCAATTCAAGGTCTCAATTATTGCCCCTAAATTAGACAATTTTTAATTGAATTAGAATATAAAAAAACACGGTCCAATTAGAAAGAAAAGATGAGCGAATTTAGGACTAAATGGGGCCCAAATTAAAAAGGCATGCTGGGTGGCCCGTGGGCTATCTGAATCTGATAGCGGGCCTAGCCTGGGCTAGAAAACTGTAGTCCAGTCTTTCCCGGCCCGTTGCCGGCTCATAATAGCACCTTTTCTTATAAAAGATTTGTTTATTTTTAAGTTAAAAATATTGTCTTATTCTTTATATATATATAATAAGTATGGAGTTTGAATGTGTTTCTGAAGTCATTTTATTTTTGTAAAAAAAGTAAGTAGAGTGAAAATATCTTAACCCTGATGTCGTAAAAGTGCATAATACATCCCTAATGTTTTGTTTGGTAGAAAGGAAGTGGAGTGGAAGGAAAATAAGAGGGAATGAGACAGGGAGAAAAAGGATAATAGGAGGGATTTACAAATTTTCATCTGCAACATGAGAGATAAGTGAAGTTGTTATAAAAGTATTAAATTACAATATTATCCTTCAAAATCCCTACGCATCTTGTTTCAAAGTATTGATTCGTGTTACAAACTTATTTGATTCATAAACTTATTTGATTCATGTGTTATGCACATATATACATATAAATATACCTTTCCCTTTATCATACTTCTGTACCCACGTTGGCCTTGAACTTGACCTCTCTAGCCCTTGTTTGGTCGATATATGGATCCTGTGTGTGTGTGTGTTGTGTGTGGGGGGGCGGGGGGCCGGGATTTTATAATGGCCTTAGTAGTAAATAAAGGATCAGAGTAAAAAATGTGAATACTTATTATTGCTCCTTGACGACTCAACCCCATTGTGAAACTAATGACAATGTCTTTCACATTCTCATAAAAGCATGATGTCAAGCCGAATTCATACCCATAAAAAAATACCACCCAAAAAAAAAAAAAAAACAAAAAACAAAAATGGGACAGTGGTCCTTGGAATGCTTAGATTTTGTTTTTAGTTTAATGCAATAATATTCTTTATTTATATTTATATTTATATTTATATATAAGAGGCAACCAACAAATTAGAGTGAAATTAAAGATAAAAAAAATACTGACGGGTATAAGGGTAAAAATAATTTAAAATTATTATTTTTCCCTTATCTCCTAATGAATAAAAAAAGTTATCAACTTCTTCTCTTCACTTCCATCCAACCGAGCAAAACAAGGAAAGTTCATAATTTTTTCTCTAAGGATGTCTCATCCTTTCCTTCTTCTCTCCCTTCTATCCAATTTTTTCCCGTCTTACCCAACGGAGATAGAATCATCCAACATCTTGAATGTCTTCTTTTTGGGTAAGGTAACATCTTGAGCGCGAAATCATCCAATGAATTAATATAATACCCTTTACAAGAATTAATTTCTTGCCCAGGAATATATATATATATATATATATATATATATCAATACAAAAAGTTTATTTAACATAAAACTTAGTAATTTTGGAACATGAAATCAGTAATAGGTGGCATTACAGACCAAAAACTACCAACTTGGAAAGCTCTAACAGTTGATCCTCAACGAATCACACTCTCTATAATCACCCTGTAAAGCCGAAAAGCCTTCACACATAGCGCAATTGAACTCCTTTCACATGATCCACAAGCTCCATTCTTTGTCGTGGACGCCATTGCTTCCACTCCAAGTTCCGGACAACAACATCAACACGAGAATTCTATGCTGCGCGTTCTGCAATTCCTACCGGTACATAACATGTTCAATACCTGCAATTGAGCTGTCAACCGAAATTTATTCACGGTCATTATGCCTTGTTGATGTAATAGATAATTGCGTGCAGAAATAAAGTATGCAGTTCTGAAGATGAAACCAATTAAGGACTCTGGTGCAATTAATATCATCTTAGAAGCAGGCAACAGTAGTGAGGCGAGCAAAAAACCTAGCATCAAATGTGTGACAAATTATTGAATAAGCATTATCACAATCAGCGATTTTATTTGAATATTTCATTTATAACTAGAGGAATTACCGAACGATAGAGAAAAAAATAAGTTATATATTGCTAGGGAAGGAGAATAAGATCAATTTCATATATACTTTTGAGACACGACAAATGTTAAGCTAACCTAGTCAAAATTTGTTTGGTCATTTGTTACTAATCCATCCGACCATGTCTGATGCACGTGCATCCATGTGAAGCCATTCTGCACCTCACCCTGCTAAACCCATAAACAGAACATGGGGTAACTTCAGGTTCTCTCGAATAATCATCATGAAGTTAATCAACCTCCAGAATATGATACTTAAGCATTAAGATTTATAATCACCTTTAAACTTAGTAGAACGGTGGTCAGACAGCATCGCTGCTCCTCACCTCCAACAATTTAACAATAGTCATTAGCAAAATAATAAGCTACAAGAATTTTAGGCAACATTGGTGGTATAAAATAGTTAACAAGAAAGGACACCAAAAAGAAAAGGGCAACAGGGGGTGTTAGGCAAGTTAACCAAAACTTCATAGGATAAGAATAATGAAACAAAAAACATGCATGCACACACTCACACAAACAGACACACACACACACACACACAAAAAGAAAGAAAGAAAAAAATGTGCAAGAATCGACATGTTCCAAGATAATATTTAATGTTGTCGTTACATGATCTTCCAATGATCGTGTCGTGAGGGAAAAAAAATCATATTATGTCAATCTGTTGTAAGGTTACCTCAGTCATATCACCAACAAGCCACCTTTAATTGATGGTGATTTAAAATATTACAGTTCTTCTAATTTCTTCTTCCTTTTGTTTTTGTCTTGTTCTTTCAGTCTTGCCCTATGATTCTGTATCAGATAACTTAGTGATTCCTTTCTGAGAACTTAACAGTTTCAAAGGCTGTTCATTGTCAACATCAGCATCCATGCTGCCGAAATCGACATTCAAACTGAAGTGAACAGCTAACTTTGGTAGGGAAGAAAATGTGTTCAATTTATTTGTGGAGAACTTAACATCTGTTTAGAATTTTTAGAACCAACCTGAAGACTAGGTAATGTCAAAAAAAAAAAAAAAATCAACTAAAAAAGGTATCTACCACCACCCATCATTGTATTCTTTTAATCTCTGGATCTAAAGATAATAGAACTAAGTGGCACCAGGTTTAAGTAGATCCTCCTCATGTACAGACACAAATATATGGCCTTTATGGTCAAAGTGAGCAATAAATTACTACTGACCTTCACAAGTAAGTAACTGTTAAATGTTTTTGGGAATACATAACCTAGGACAATTTTGGTGGTTTTTCACAATGGTCATTTTCAGTTTACTGACCTTGAGCTTTAAAAGTTCATTTTTATGCAATGTGTTTACAGTGGGCAGAGATCAGAATAACCTAGAACCGGGGCAAGTGTTTGAGCTTCAAAATGTAAATTTAAAGGGAATAAATATATAGTAGAATATCACCAAATCATATTGAACAGTCATACCAGATTGCTCCCACTTATCAAACTTCACCAGCCATATATCTGGACTAATCTGCGCTGAAGAAACTCGATCCACCCAAACAAAATATTGTTTCCCCTGCTTGTCTCCATAAGACCTTTCCATTGCATCTATGAACCGGTGGAGAGGTTGCTCAACTCCAGAAGGATGGACAAAGATGCCCAATGGATACTGAGAAATATGAATGAAGTAATCAGAAGGTTGGTATAATTTCAATATCAAAACAGAGAGACAGCAAAAATATGCAGTGAGAGGAGTCAAAAAGGGATAAAGCATTCGAAAAGAACTTGTTTCACAATGCTTACAAGCTGAAAAAGGGACCAATCACCGTCCAGGAATAGAATTTTATTCAAGCAATTTATGCAAACTCTAAGTCACATTTTGAAAAATATGCATATGCTGATTACAAGTACTAAGGTCAAACAAATTATACTGATTTTGAACGATCTTAAACCTTGAGAATAGGTTGCAGAATATAGAACAATCTAACTATTAAATTCAGCAATGAACCAAACAAAAGCATCCATTAAAACTCAACAGAAGATGCCCCACCGACTTGACTTAGAAAAACATTTTAATATCATGGCTTCCATTGCAGCAACAGGTCCTAATGCAAATGTCCAAGGGAATAAGACAGAAAACTCTCCCTAAGCTAGTACACCGTGAATGAAAGAATACGAAGAATCCTACAATTTTTTATTTTATTTAATGAAAAGCAATTTAGACTTACAAAGACTGATCTTAACCTCTGCATGTACTGATCAGACTTCTCAACTTCTGCACGCAGCCATCTCTCACAAAACAAGTAAAACTTCACCATCTCATAACCCGGGCTGGAAGAATTCATTTTGCACTCCGAGAGGTCTACATCTCTAGGAGATAAATTTGGGCCCAGACCGAAATTACCAATGGCTTGTATGATCCCAGCTGCGCATCTCTCAGTTGCATGTATTATATTAGGATTATCCTTTGCATTATCTGCATGCCACTGCAACAACTCTTCCTGTGCATTACTGACCTGCTTGTGTAACAAAATAATTGGTATTTGGTGGTAGAACCATTCAATTTATTGTTACAACGAAATGAAAGTATGAAACAAATATCAGTGAACGAGAAAATGATTATGGAGATACCAACCATCACACCATAGACTTCAGGAACACCGAACAGTTCAGCATCATTTCCAGAGTCACCACAAACAATGGTATTAGCAGGTAGTCTTCCATCAACTTCAAATTTTTTCAACAAATAAGCAAGAGCACATCCTTTTCCAGCACCACGAGGTAATATGTCCAAAGCTATCCCACCACTATAGATAATTTTTACTTCTAACTGATAAAATAACAATATAAAATAAAAACAACGGTCATACAATCAGGGAAATGAAATAAGATAAAATATCCCAGCATACCAATAAAACTGAAACTGACAGTAGCCCGAAAAGAAATGTTAATCCAATAAAAATGAAACTTACCCCACGTTTTACCAAACTTTCTGAGAGAGCCTTAATTATTTTCAAAGCCTTTTCTTTCCCCACAAAGAAACTAACTTTGTGAGGTCGTTGCTCTGTTTCTGACTGCAATAATGCCATAGATTTTAGAAGTCTGGAAATTGAATAGACAAATAGGCCTACTCTCTTAAATCGGGAGTTTAAGGGCTCTGTAGGGTCTCTCGTTCACTAAGAATGATGGATGCATCTGTAGTTTTTCAACAAATAACACATATATTGCTGCAAAATTTAAAACAATTGGACATGCTGCACATTATTTAGGCAAAGATAACATTCACATATCAGTGATTGAACAAACCTGGAAAGTAAGTTCAGGAAACTTAGCTGTTTCTTCAGTGACTATGTTTCTATCCCATTTCTGATTCAAAAATTGTTTCCAACCTTCATCTGGTACCATTAGTTCACCATATGTAATCTCAGTTCCCACAGACATCACAATTATATCAGGGGTCAACAAGGGCTTCTCTTTCCTCAACTGTTTGTAGATTGTAGGTGACCTTCCAGTGGAGAAAACTAGAAGAGAATCATGACGGTAATAGGCTTCCCATAGGGAATTAAACCTAAGAAGAGCAAGGTTCTCAGGATCATCATGATCTACCTGCAATTGAAGACTTCTATCCAGTTGAATCACCACAAAGTAAAGCTAGTAACAAGAATTTTAATTGAGTATCTACCATTGTATAGTCAAGATCTGAAACTATCATAAGACGTGCAGAACCATCCAGCCTATTCATCCTATAACCACAGTGAACTCTGCAGATATGCAAAAGAAAGATTCATTATTACAGATGCTTTACTACAGAAAGTCCAAAAGTAACATGCACAGAATAAAGAGAAATTAAGTCTAAGAAATTTTATTCAAGAAAATTTTCCTATATCCAGTTTTTGGTGCCATCAATTCAACGTACAAGTGGCTGTGAAATAACAGTTATAAGGAGACATGAACTTGAAATATGACGATTTTTAAAGTGATGGAAATTATTTCTTTTGGTGCAAGTGATGTCATAGAATTTATGAAAAAAAGTGATGTCATAGAACTTTTTTTTGATAAGTAAAGTATCATTAAAGGCGTTTGAAAGGGGAACGCAGCCCGCAAAAACTACACAAGGACAAAATAGGGCCCCTAAACTCTCAAACCGTTCATAAAATCAACTCTCTCACCCCAAGATATACAATTTCTCCCATAAACCCAACAAAAAGGGAACTAATAATAGAGAACTTCAGCATCCCAATAGTAGACTCCTCAAAGGACCTCCTATTCTGTTCCCTCTGCAGCACCACCAAATAAACAAGGGCATGATCCTCCAAAAGTCACGGACTTGGGAGTCCACTGTACAACCGCTCCAAGCTTCCATTGTGCCTCTTGAAGATTGAGGCATAACCCCTGCATCCTAAACAAACCAAAAAGCAATCCTAACTGGCCTTGGCAACTGGGCAATGCAAGTGAAGGTGATCAACAGACTCTTTCATCTCTCTTACACATGCAACACGCTGTCTCCTTCTCCTCAAGTTATCCAGCGTCAAGCAAAGAGGCCACCTTTAGCGGGACCTTTGTGTGCCAAATAGCCTTCTACAGAAAAGCGGTCCCTGGACCAACCAAAAGACTCCTATAGAAAGAGAGCACATCAAACCTCCCCTGAGAAGACGACACTCAGATCCAGGAGTCAGGCCCTCCTCCATCCACTACCTGACGATGTAACAGCTCCAATAACCCTATGGCATCCTCCAACTCCCAGTCTTGAAAATGCATCACAAAGCTCACATCCCAAATTGTCCTCCCCCTATCAAGTTATAAGAGTCAGTCACCAATGCATGTCTATTTGAAGCAGGTTGGAAGAGGTTAGGAAGGTGCACACCAACGACCGATCACCACACCAAACATCCTCCCAAAATCATATATCTCTGTCATCTCAAACCCTGAATTTGATGTGTTTAGAGAATCCATCCCATCCCTTTCTGATGAATTTACAAACACTAACTCCTCCTGGGATCCTCAACTCTAAGAAGCACCATTCACTGTCCTCCCCAAATCTGCAAAAGATAACTCTCCTCCATAATCTGTCTCTCCACCCCAAATCTCCACAAACACTTGCCCAAAAGAACCTTGTTGAAAGGCTCCAATCTCCTAATCCCCAGACCTCCCGTCCAAATCGGCCTACACACTTGCTCACAACGAACTAGGTGGTACTTGAACTCCGCCCCAACACCACCCCAAAGGAAGTTGTGCCGAAGCCTCTTGATCCTCCTAGCCAAATTTGGAAAAAAGATAAGAAGAATGAAGGCTTGACAGTGTGCTCTTCATCAGGGTGACCCTCTCACCCTTCAAAAGACGCTGCTTCTTCCACCCCGCAAGCCTCCTCTGGAAGTGCTTCGCTCCACCGTAGGATCCTAATCCCCCCAACTCTCCTCGAGGGAGACCCTAGAGGCAAGCCCAAATGCGAAATAGGGGAGGAACCAAAAACTACAACCAAGAAGATCGGCCAAGTCATCGATCCTTGCGACCTCCCCCACAAGAACCAACACACTCTTCCCCACATTGACTTTCTAACCAGAGACTGCCTGCAAGCAAATTAGAACACTACCCAAATATCTAGTCTCTTCTACGTCACAGAAGACAATGGTTTCAGCAGCTAACAAGTAGGAAATCTCCAGCTGGCATGATGGATCCCTGCCCACCCTGAATCCTCTAATAAAACCCAGTTCCAGGTACCTTCCCATCCATCTCTAGCTGGTTTTATTTCAAGATATAACCATCTTACAGGAGAAGTTCAAAGTTACTCTATGCCTACCATCACAGAATGAAATAAAAAATAAGATTGATCAATTTTGTAGAGCTGTTCACAAATAAATGAAAAAGCGGATTCTTTTTCTTAAGAAAAAGAATAGGGTTAGGACTATGGAAGGAAATAGTGGGTAAAAAAACGAATTTTGTCCCACCCCTTCCGTAATTCTACAAGCTAACCCAATTTACTAGGAATAGAAATAGGATGACCTCTGTAGGAAGTTCCCCAATCATCTGTGGAAGCTGATAGCCACTAGAGTATTCACCCACCTGCCCACAATTTGCCAAAATTTCCCCACCCCAATTAATATTGATCAAAGTGGCGGGGCATTAAATTTATGCAATCATGTGATCCACCATTTATCATGAGCCCAAGTGATACTCAAAACAGGGGCATGCACTCCAGTGTCACCTCTGACATTCATTCTACCCCTTGGTTTGCAACACTACTTTGGTTCTAAAACTGTTATATTGCAAATAGGATATTATAGATGGACAATATGTAGCAAACATGTTTGGGTCTTAACATATCATGTCGCTATCCCGAGATTTTTTTATTTTATGAAACCAAAGACTATGAAGCATGACTACTTCTATAAGGGGGACGTACTGCCATACCCTTATCAAACATTCACAAATACATGTCTAAAACATCCTAAACATATCCATATTTAAAATAATATATTTTGAACACGTCAAATTTTTTTAGATAATCATAATATAATTGTTAGGAAAAGTGCAACAAGGATTCCAAATATCACGAACCTAGTTCACGAAAAAAAAAAGAAAAAAAAGAATTGAGACGACGACAACAGCAACAACCAAGCCTTTTTCCCAACTACTTGGGGTAAGCTAAATGAATCTTATGTTTCCGTTCCGCTCTATTTAAGGCCATAGCCTCGTCAAAATAAATAAATAAATAAAATTAAAAAAAGAATTGAGATCTAATGAAAATGTATCATGTCCAACAATTTAGTCTAAAGTTTATGTCCATGCATCATAAATCTGAACTTGTCATTTGTGCTTGGAATATGAGTCACGTGTCCTACTCAAAATTGGAATTGTAGTGTATGTCATGAGTCGTTTGTCTTTAAACACAAAATACAAACACGGTGCAAATCTCTCAATGCTTAGTCACGTATCCAGGGTAAAGGTAAATGAGACCATAGTTATTTGACTTAGATTTGATCCTAAATTTGGTCAAAATATTGTTCTAAACTTGTTTTTCAAAATTAGGGTTTTAATCCTAAGTTATTAAAATGATTTTCTAAATTGGGATTTTCTCAAATACAATAACCATCAATGGATAGGTTGAGCAATCCTGGAAGGGTTTTAACCCTAAGTCTGACAATTTTTTTCTAAATGGGTTTTTTTTTGGAATATAGTAACCATCAATTGATAGGCCCATTAAACGAGAAAACTCTAGTGAGTGTTGATTGATAACCGTGCTTCCAAAAGCCATTACTTATAAGTAAAAGCTGATTATTAAAAACTATGTTGTTGCTCAAACATGGCTTATATGCCAATGACGCCCAAATGTTTCACTTACTAGTTCATTCAATTAATCTATGGGCTTCAATCAGATTCTTAGTAGCCATGACTGAGCTCTTCACAAATCACAAGCAGTTCACTAACACCATCTTTTACTAGTCCAATAGACCTTTTTAACAGACCAAGCTTGAGATTTTCATGACCATCTTGGTTCATTTTACCAAAATGAACATCAATCATGTGAAGGACAAAATGGCCAAATTCAAGGAACCTTCACGAAATTTCCAAAGGTTCAGATACTCACCAAGTTCTAAAAATTTTAAAAATATTAGGAAAATAATAAGTAATCAGAAGAAGTTGAGTTAAAATGAATAAATAGAGAAAAACAAAGTAGTAGAAATATTAATACTTCAAGAAAAAAAATTTAACACTTTAATCAACTTCTCAATAATTCCAGTCAAACACTAGGACCCAAGAAAAGCACAAGCCTTGTAATGGTGGGGCAAAAGCATGTCCAAATATAAAATTGAAAATTGCAAAAAAAAAAAAAAAAGTTTATTAACTGAAATAAACAAAATATCTAAATGCATGAAACAGAATGATGATAAAGGATATCTATTTCCGAAGGTAAACATTTTATTTATCTATATAAATATATATATATATATGGATAAGTTCAGCACAATTGAGGAAAAACCCAGAAATTGAAAATTAAAGGAATGAATAGGGCCATGAATGCACAATTAGGAAAGAGAACAAACAATCAAAATTAAAGTAGATGATCGGAAAAACAGTTACCAAAGTTGTGGATGAAACGCAGAGCATACTCCACAAATTCCCCGCAATGAGGCGATTCAAGAATTTCAGTTTCTTTTCCTTACTTTTCTTGTGAATCAACCAGAATCAGAACCAGAACCAGTAGTGGGGATTTATGGAAGTAGGTGGTGCAGTTTGGGCCGGGTCTCTCACTGACGAAAAGACTTTCACACCGTTTCCTCCTATTTATGTCTTCAAATTTAGGATCGAATTGGTCAAATTTAATTTATGAATAAAATAACACATTCTTATTATTATTATTATTTTTTTATAAAATGCCTCCAGAGGCTAAAAATATATATTAAATCACTACTCTTACTTCCTTAATCATGTAAATGGGTTTTAAGTAAAATTATAACAATTAATAGAACATTGTCAGACTCATTTCGAAGCAATACACATATAATCTCTGAAGTACATCGGTCTTCGCATTTCTAATAATGTGTGTGCATAAATTTGACAGTATCATAAATTAATATTATGGTGTTTTTTCAAGAATATATATATATATATATATATATATATATATAAATTATTCAATGCAATGATAAAAACTCAGGTGGACAAATTTCATTTAAGCAGGTGGGATTGACATTTGACAGTGTTCTATATATTTGTTTCGAGTTTGCTATGCATAATGGTTTTTCCGATGGTTCCACTCTAAAGTTAACAATGCTACCTGCTTTCCCTTCCTCATTTATTAGGGTTGAAATTACAAATTTTGTTAAAGAATCCTACTTTTTAATTACAGTCATGTTGTGTTTGGGAGTATCGAATTGGTGCTTTAAATTTCAATTTAGAAAAAAATTAGTACAAGCTTTGAACTAAATTTTTTCTAATCCCAAATTCAAGCTGCCGATTCGTTGTTCTCAAACATAACATCATTGTTTGCTTATACTGAGCTGATTTCATATTGTATACTTTCTCTTTTATGGTGGAATTTGAATTTCTACCTGGATATATGCAGCTACTTTCTGATAGTTAAAGAAATTGAAAAAGAAAAATAAATAAATAAACGAAAAACAATTTATTTTTCTAACTGCACTTCTCTTTGGATGAAAGCCTTTTAACCATAGCTTCAAAGTGATTTTAGAGAGTGAGAGAGTACAAAATTCCCATTTGAAAATTTGAAGCATCACGATAAATTACAAGAATCAATCATCAAAATAGTGAAAGAATGGTTACTAAGGTGCTGTTTGATAAAATTAAAAATTAAGCACTGAAAATTTCAAATATTTAATTCTGAAAATTTCAAGTATTGAATTTTAAGCGCTGAAAATTTAAGTGTTGAATGTTTTAATTTAAAAACCTATTTGATAATGTTTTAATTTTAAAAGTTGAATTCAATAAAATTGTTTGTTAAATACAAAAGTTGAAGTTTGAAAATTATACATATTACATTTTTGCCCTAACAACATTATAAAAATATTAATAAAATAACCACATTCACTCAATGGAATATTTCAATTTAACAATGAAGGTTAATGTAAAATCTAATCATAAAAAAAGTCAATTCAAACTTAAATAATTAAAATTATTCAAATAGTACTCATTAATATAATTATTTTCAAAATTTTAAATTCGAGAACTAAAACAAATTATTTTCAAAGGTAACGACGATAAATAAAATTTAAAATATATGGATTCCGAATTGCATAATATTTATGCAATCCATTGTAATCAAAAAGGTGTTACAAAGAGTAAGATTGCACGTAAAAAATAATTTTGTTATAGAATTAATAATTTTGTTAATTTTGTTATAGAATTAATAATTTTGTTATAGAATTAATTGTGCTGTATAGTGAATCAAGTGAATCAATTTGAATGGGTAACCAAAAGACTATATCTGTCGTGTTTAAAGATAGCACGTAGAATTATATATATGTAGGAATTTGTTGTAATTTATTCTAATTAATAATAAAAGTAACAACCAACCAAATATATATGAATCAATCTGAATGTAACTAAAAGGTTACATCTGTCATGTTTAAAAGATTTCAGGTAAAATAATATGTATATATTTTTTTAGAATTTGTTTGATCATGTAATTCATTCTCAGTAACATTTAATTAGAAAGTAATAAAAAAAAATATAACCACCAACCAAATATATATATATATATATACACACACACACACACACTAAAAAAATGAACGTGCACTCCACGTGAGGAGAAATGCTTGTGAATATTTTAATTTTATTCTTCAAATAGAGTATATACATACACATATATATATATATATATAAATTCTACTTTTCCTTTCTAAAAATTGTCTTAGTAATATAACTTTAAACTAAAACAAATACTAAAAGTTACAGTAATGTTTTCTTTGATCATGTCAACATATTTGGAACATATTTGAAAAAAAAAAAAAAAAAGTACGTGAACATATGTAGGTTTACTTTTACTAACCATATATCTAAAAAAGCCGAACTTATAAAATTGTAATAAATTTTTAAATAAAAGGTGTCTGAAATAAATAAAAAACATGATAAGACTTTTCAAGAAATTTGTATTAGTATATAACTTTTCTAAAATACGTCTGAAAAAGGATAATAATAAAATTTCAAATATTTTTTAAAATAAATTTCTTTTAGTGTTTTCAATGAAAAACAATATACATTCAAATCTGTTAAAGAAAAAAAAAATCTTACTACCTACGGCTTTTTAATCCCTCTCTATATACCTCCTATGTTTTTTTTCTTTCCAAAGATTCTTCTCTATACAAATTTTTTTTCGCAGTAAAAAAGTTGAATGAAATATTTTTTTATAGTTTTATGACTGTAAGTTTGTATAGTGGTAAAATTTAGAATAGTAGGCTCAATTGAATTTAGGAGTTTCTGAGAAAGGAAAAAAAAAATGACGGATGTTCTGAGATGGAAAATGGTGACTTATATAGATGAGTTTGAACACAATCAATAAATAATGTTATGTTGAAATACAACAATGGCGTTGAATAATTATACTCATATAAGGACTCCTACATATCACCGATACCTTGTGTCAACTCCAAATTAACGGTAGAAATTGCTCTAGGCGATGTCCTTGTGTGTGTTAGATCTGGGTTTTCTAATGACAAACATATTTCTGAAAATTTGTTTCTAGCATGTTTATTCTGTCATATTTTATTTCATAGGTGCTTTATTGTTTCTGTTTTGGAACTCTGTTCCATTTAGTTATTTAATTTGACTTAAATTTTGAATAGAACAATATTTGTTTTGGAGTAAATTACTTTTAAGGTAATTTTGAATTTTATGTCTCTAATTTTATTAATTAATGTTAGGGACAGGAATCTGTTGAAAAATAGTAGAAAGTCACGTCTGTTAAAACTTTTTTCATTTTGAATAAATAATAATAATAAAACTCATTTTAAATTTTATTACGGTTGAATTAAAAATACTAAAAAGTCATAAAGGCATGGAACTATGTGAATCCTTCACCATTAACTCACTAAGTAACATCAATATCAATTTCATATCTCCTTTTGAAAGGAAAGCCTTGCCAAGCTTCCGTTATAAGAACTGGAACGAAATTGATCCATATAGATTTTACGTCCCAACCATAGAGAGAAAACCTTCTCCACTCTCGCCGTTCTAATTGCTTGTCCTCTCTAAACATATTCAATCATCATCTTGTTTATCTCTTCCCAAGCACTGTCCTAATTTTCTAACTTATCTATAGAGCTTTCCAAAATTTTAAGACTCAGACTGAAAAATAATACATACTTGATAGATGTAGTGGATGATTATCGTCGTAGTTTTGACACGATATTCTAATTTCTGCATCCAAAATAATTATTAATTTTTTTTTTTAATTCTAAAGAAAAAATGTAAAAAGACTTGGATGTTACATTTGGCTCAATCTATGCAAAACAAGAAACAATGTTGAAAAACAATAGAACTATTACCTCTCAATGGTGCAACCTAAAACAGATGTAATCATAGGCTAAAAGTAAAAACAAAAGTTGTATGGCTTTTTATCAAAAAGGTTAGAAATTGGTTGGTATAGAATTCAAATTAAAACTTACCTTCAAAAAATGAATAGGTGTTGATTAAATTTGATCAAATTTGTACCAAAATTCAAATTGAAACATACCTTCAATAAAAATAAAGCTTGAGTCATGCGCTTCAATCAAATACGAATTTTCTTGGAAATATTTGAAGTTGCAATAGAACATGGAAGAATTTTTTTTTTAACAATTTATAGAAAAGAGCCAGAGAGATAGAATGACAGAGAGAAATCTGAATATCAACCGCCCATTATATAATCTTGAACCGACGTGTGTGTTTAGACGTCAAAATCCAGCCGAATAGATGTAAAAAAAATAATAATAAAAAAATAAAAGAAAAAAAGAAAGTTGCGTCGATTTGATGTTTAATTGAGAGAAACTCCTTTTAAGATAAGAACTCTTTGTAAAAAAGAAAAAGAAAGGAAAGTAAAATATGAAAAAAGAAAAGTGACGTTAATAAAGAGAAATATTGCAACTCTTTGAAAACGATAACGTCGATATAAGATTTTTGTAAGTTAAAAGATATTATTTAAAAATGTATATAAAAAATCAAAATTGAATACACTTTTATAGGGTATATAGATATGAGAACTTACCTATAACGCAAAGATAAGCCCTGAATAAATGGGTAGAGTAGCCATTAAAAATATATTTTTAAAATCTAACCACTTACCATTTTATGCGGTAAGCAAATAAGTAACATTTTCCTCCCTTAAAAATTTGGCCTCTTTTAAGTGGTATATAAAATTTTAACAAACACACTTATTTTTAAAAATCACTTACCGTGTTCTACATTCAGGGCTGAATTAGGAAATCAAACCGGCCCTAAGAGTAGAAATGATCAGTTAAAAAACAAATCAGTCACCATATCTAAAAAGTGTAAATATTAGTGAACCAAAAAATTTCTCTCACAAAAAATCGTTGAGATCGATAAACTGGTACGACTGAATCGAAGTGTCATTTTGGTTTAGTTTCGATTTCAAAATTAGGAAATTTTAGTTTACAGTTCCAATTTCAATTATTGACCATATATATTTTTTCAATTTTATTATCTTACTTTTATTTTGTTAACAATAACAATAATAATTCTTCATATAGTCCAGAAAAGTCTAACTCGTAAAATATGGATTGTTGTCGCGTGGATACCTTTATACCGAGCTAATATAAATGTAAATTTTCAATACATATATTGAATGAGACAATTATAGAATTTTAATTAATTAATTTTGTTGCCCAAGTATTGACTCTAGAGGGGGGAGTGAATAGAGTCAATGATAAACAATGGATAATTTTTGCAATATAGAAAAGCAATTTCAAGCAAAGTACTTAACACAATTGTGCAATTATAAAGATATGAAATAAGTAATTAAATAGCACAATTATAAGAGAGATAAGGGAAGAGAAATTGCAAACATTGACTCGGTGATTTTAGCGAGATTCGGAAACTCCTACTCCTCGGCTCAAGACTCCTCTTGAGACTTCCAAATTCACTATGACTTCTCCTTACGGGTGGATAGTAAACCTTTACATGAAGCAAGACCTTGCTTCTTTTCCTTGCTAAGAGAACAACATTCTCTCAGTCTTCCTTTGGGTCACACCAACCCTTACAATAGATAGTAGCAAGAACAATGAAATACAATAGATCTCTCAAAGATAGTAGTATACTTTTCAGCTCACAACTAGAGTATTGATGAATATAAATAAAGCTCAAACTCTATGAATGAAAGGAGATGATATAAGTGAAGAATGTAAGCTCTTATAATCTCTCAAGTGTATAATAGAGCAAAAACTCTATGAAGATTAAAGCAAGAGCAAAAGCCCTTTGAGTGCTTAATTAAATCTCTCAAGATAGAATAAGAGTGCATGAGAGAGATGAAGAGAAGATTTGAGAACAAAAGCTCTCTTTAATGCAATGTGAAGGCTTTCAAATGATGTCTCTTGATTATTAAAACATTCCCCACTCTATTTATAGAGTTTCCAAGCTCAATATAACTATTGGGAGTTGAATGCACAAAGGTTGAGGAGAAAAGAGTCGTTACATTTTGAAATCTGCAGATTTGCGACCAAACCGATTGACATGTGGATAAACCAGTTGACATCTTAGCTTGAACCGGCTGATGTGTACTCCAAACCGGTTGACATCTACTTATAAACCAGTTGATGTATTTTGCAAACCAGTCGACATCTCTTGAAAACCAGTCGACATCTCTTTATGAACTAGTTGATGTAAATGAGCTTCATATTAAAATTAGCTACTGCCTAGATACCGGTCGACATGTATGTCAAACCGGTTGACATGTATAAGTATCATGTTAGTACAAATTTGGTTGACAAACCGGTTGACATAATATTACCATCCTATCTTATCATTGTAATTATATTTTTAATTCTTAGAGATTGAACACTTTGATGTATGTTCATATTGTATATAAGACTAATAGTGTAACGTGTTAACCAAATGTCTAAGATGTATTAGCCAACTGTCCTAGATAATAAATTTTATTTTTAAATGATGGACACAATCGTAAAGTGTCAGATGCGTGTTTAGGATTGTTCATGCAGTGTCAATGCCCGATACGGTGTTAGACTTGAACACGAACACGACACCGCATAAAGTGTCCATGCTTCTTAGAATGTAGATTTTAACTTTTAATATAAGAAGCCTCGGATGTTAACGGGGCGAGTTTAGGATGGGGTACCCCTTTCCCAAACGCATTCCATCCCATCCTATCAATGATTTTTTTTTCCCCCCAAACTCAATTCGGAGTGCCTCACATCGTAGTAAGGGCAAGTTCGGTTTGAGGCAACCAATATACATATACTTTAAGAAAAACAATTCAAACTTACTGTTTGAAAAAAAAAAAATTCAAACTTGAACAAATTTAAAATAAATTTTGTCATATATATATTTTTGTATAGTTAAATATATAACAATCATAATAAAAAAAAGGGTAAAGTGCAAAAAATTCCCTGAACTATTGGCCTTTTGCAACTAACCTGGCTGAACTAAAGATTGCCCACCTAAACTATTGATTTGTTGCAATTAAGGATAAATCCATCCCAAAAGACTATTTTACCCTTTCTTATTAAATTTGTCATTTCTTATTAAATTATTTCTTATTATATTTTCTCTTATTTAAATATTAATTATACCATTTACCTTAACTTTATAATTAGTATCAATTGATTATAAAAATGGAAAAAATTAAATAGATTTGTAGCTATCATTTTCTAAAATGATTAACTTATTATAATAAAACTTATTATACTCACTTTTAAAAAAATAGTATAAAAAAAATATCTTCTTTTTCAAACAATATTCATGAAAAATTAATAAATTACGTAAATAAAATATCTTCTTTTTAATGCAATATATTCATGAAAATTAATAAATTACGTAAATAAAATATCTTCTTTTTTAATTCAATATATATTCATGAAAATTAAGAAATTTCTTAAATTGTTTCAAATTTTTTATTTAAATACTTAATTAAAAAAATAAAGACAAATTTAGGCAAATTTAATAGAGAATATTTCATTAAATTAGTATGAATTTTTTTCATAATTTTTTTTAATAAGAAAAATATATCAAGTGTAATTGAATAAGAAATGGTATTATAGTCATTTAATGAAAAATAAGTAAGACAATGGGGTATTTTGTAACTAAATGCGATAGTTTATGAGGTTTTATGTACAAAACATAATGCAGGGGGTTATTTACAAATTTAGATATAGTTAAAGGGTTTTTTTTGCACTTTACTCTAATAAAAATATAGTTAAATTTAAAAAATTATCATAAGAAATAACATAACAACAAAAATTATAGCTAATAAAATAATATTTATTTATATATTTATTATTAATTAGGAGGGTTCAAGATTTGGCCCATTTGGGGGTTTTAAATTTTTTTTTTTTAAATTTCATCCCAATGGGACGGGACTGGCTCGACGGACTATTTAAATTGACATATAATAAAGGACCTAAAACTTTTATATTATGAAATGTTTATTATTGGGCCATGTAATGGGCTGACGATGCAGCCTTAATATTTCAGATGGACTACCTAATTCTGTCACCATGCTACGTCGTATTTACTCCCCGCTTCATATTAAATATCTCTTTTAAAGAGTAATATTGTATTATTTTTTTAAAAAATTACAAACTACCCTTTTAAGCTTAAATATATATATATAATAAAGTTTGAAATTTTTAAAATTTTTAGAATATTTTATGAAAATATATAAAATATATTATTTAAATTTAATAAGTGACAATTATTAGTACTAGTATATGACTCGTTAAACTAACTCACCACGGGCTAACCTCACTCACAACATGGAATAGGCTTTTCTGAATCACTCTGCCCTAGTGCTAGGGTTTTTCTCTGAAACTCGTGGAAGATCGAGCGTACGGAGGATACATTCAAATCAGTAAACCCTATGGCTTTCAAAACCTGTAAGTTTTTATCACCCATGTTTCATATCTTATATGACAATCTGATGCATCACAGAATCAGTCATTCTTCAGCGACAATTATTCGATTTTTTGAGACCCAATCAATCTCAAACTCCTCAAATTTCACGAAGAAACAAGCTCTCACAGTCTCTTACCTCACAAAGTCATGTGGGTTGTCGTTAGAATCTGCTATCTCAGCTTCTAAGAAGCTCAACATTAAGAGCACAGAGAAACCGGACTCGGTTCTTGAGCTCCTAAGGTCCCATGGCTTCACTGAAAATCACATTTCAGCCCTAATTTCCAAGTGACCAACTTTAATTTTGGCTTTCCCAGAGACAACTTCAAGACCCAAATTTGAGTATTTTGTAACTTTGGGTCTTGGCGGACCTGACTTGCCTAGGATTCTTTGTTCATCTAACATGATACTTAACAGTTTGGAAAACAAAATCAAGCCCACATTTAATTTCCTTAAACTATACATAAGCACCCATGATAATTTAATTCATGCTCTTAAGGAATCTAACCATATGTTTGTGGGCAATGTTGAAAAAGTTGTGGTTTCAAATATCACCACCTTGCGGGCTCATGGTATGTCTGAATCCCATATTGAAAAACTAATCATTTCGCGGCCCAGCGCACTAACGTTGAGAGTTGATGTGTTTAAAGAGGTTACTGATGCAATTAAGGAAATGGGTTTTGATCCCAAAAGTGGATCATACGTATCTGCTGTCCGTTCAATGTCAAAAATTAGCAAACTCAATTGAGAAAAGAAGAAGGAAGCTTATATGAGCTTTGGTTGGTCTGAAAGCACATTTAATTCGGCATTCAAATCGCAGCCAATATGTATGAGTCGCGCAGAGAAGACAATCAGGGAACTGATGCATTTCTTTGTGAACAGGGTGGGGTTAAGAGCATCAGAGATTGCTAACCGCCCAAATATTTTACTACTTAATTTGGAAAGTAGAGTCATTCCTAGATGTTCTGTTCTACAAGTTCTGATGTCAAATGGTTTGATTGGGAAGGATGTAAATGTGGTTCCGGTGTTAACTTGTACCATAAAGAAATTTGATACCAGGTTTCTAACCAAGTATAAAGAGGTTGCTCCTGAAGTAATCAAAGCGTACAATGGTGAGATAGGATTTGAAGGATTCAAGACTAGAATGTAGGACAATGTGGAATCAGAGAAGCGAGCAACTGCTAGATATGCTGGCAAACAATATGGTGTATTTGAGTTTCTATCAAAATGATTTGGCTGCATGTAAGGTCTGCCATCTAAGAAGTAATCCTCTAATCACTTCAATGAGGTTTTTTGATGGCTGATACAGTATGAGAAGGGGTAAGATTGTCGTGTATATTTTGAAGATCACATCAGCTTTCTCTGTTGACTTTGTCACATCTTGGAAAATTTCATAATTATGTTTTTCATCAGTAATGTTATGAAATATGCTCTAATTTTTCAAATTTTGACAGCCAGCATATTTGCTTAATAGTTCCATTTGAGTGGCTATATCTTTTAATTATTACTTCTTTTCTAGGTCTGCAGTATACTCATGTGGTGATTGCAATGGTTGGTGCGTGTATCTATATAGTATTTACACTGATTTTGCGGATTCCGTTGTTTTACCTGTAGGACTTATTACCTGTTATTCTGTTAAAGGCTAGTGGTCATTTCCATGTGTGTTTGATGTCATTATGGCTAATTAGTCGTATGTGTCCTAACCTGTCTATTCTTTCATATACTATGTAAAACCTTAACTTTCCATGCTTTCATAATTTTCCATGATTTCCTTATAGGTACAGAGTCTTACGTGTCCTAACCTGTTTGTTCTTCCCTATATTATGTAAAACCTTTTGTCTGAATTTAACTTTCATGTATGAGAGATCCATTAATATGCAATTCTTCGACATAAGAACTTAGAGCTCACATTTTCTGATTAGTGTATTTGAAGTGTTTTTTTTTTTTGCCTTAGTGTATTTGAAGTTATATGCTGCGTACTACCAATCAGAAATAGCTTAATTGTGTATGGGATATTTGAATTGAGGAGAAGTGGAAATTATCATCTATGGTGTTTCGAGATCGTGCACCCAGTGATATATATCTTTATACTACCTTTATTGGGGGAAGTAGATACAGAGAACTGTGTGTTGCTTCATTCATTTTGCTGACTTTTTCATTCCATTGTGTTGCTCTCACTTTTACGTTGTCAGTATGTACTTTCCTTAATAATTTATGCATTCTCATGTTAATTGTGGTATAGGGATAGTTGAAGCAGCTAGTAATAACTGACCTTAGACAGTTGTTAGGTAGTGAGGAAGTGTTGATATTTGTGAAGCACGGATATCATTAGTGCTTTATATATTTGAAATTTTCATTATTTATTTACTTTTTTTCCCCCTCCTTTTAGTGTTTAAGGTCTTGAATGAATCTACTTAAATTCAAATTTGTCATTTATGTTATTTTGGTTCTACTCTCTTAAGGTTGCCTGCGTGATTGTAGTCACTTCTACTGGAGTAAAGCATTTCCTCTGAATGGTCAAAATTATGCCTCGGTTGTAAAAGCCACTGAGAAGATGGAAGAGGTCCTTCCAAGAATTTTCTTTACCATTAACTTTGTTCTATTTCTCATAGCTTCTTATTGTCACTAAGTTTGGGATAAGATGTTGTCACCGTAATGGTATTCATCAACCTTTACTAGGGCAAAGTCTAGTAGATCTTGCAGACTACTAAAATTGGGATATCTATATGCTTTAATAACATCTCATAAGAGTTGATGACTCGTTCAACTCGGACAAAAAATCTTCCAGATGTTAGCGTCATGGTAAATACATGAGGTTTCAAATCATGGTTGTACATCTTTTGAAGTTTGGTGGTTTTTCCCACTTCGGTAAACACTCCTTTATATACTTTCAGGTGCCCTTATTTCATATTTCAATAGATGCAACCTGTCCTTCCTCTCTCTGCGTGAAAACCTTTGTCTTTCTGTGTTCTGTCTCTCTTCTCACTGTAAAACCCTAAATCTTCGTCTGAAACACTCGCCTCTGACCATCAGCCTCCTCTCAATTCAATCCCCAAACCGAAGCTCAATGACGTTGATTAGAGTTGTTTGGTGTTCATCATCATCTCTGGTCAGATTGCTCGACTGTAATTGATCAATTATACATATATATATATATAGAATACAGTGAGAAACTTTGAAAATCTGTTAATTTTACAGTATGGTGACAATTTGGGTCAGCTGTTAGATATCAGGGACAAAAAGAATTTGAAGTATTTTGGTTCACCCAGTTTGAAATTTTTGAACAAGAGTGGCGCATGTGGAGTTATGTGAAGGAGATGAAGTAGCTGTTATGAAGAAGGTATTGGAGAAGTTCCTCGAGCCCTTAAATACTACAATTTGTATTCTAGAATCTAGACATGTTAGTTTCATGACTTTTACTTTTGGGTTATTCATCTCTTGAAGTTATATTGTGATGTCAAACAATGCTCATCAATTGACTTAAATCTTCTATATTGCATTTTCTTTGGTATAATGGTATATCATGCTTGTAACTAATCTGCGTAAATATATTATGGGTCAGCTCAATAATCAATACTGTAGAAGCTATTAAATGTGCTTTTTTACTTTATTAATTCTCTGATCCATTTTCCATATTATGATGGTGGAGTTGTCAATGGCTTACTGACTTTAGTCTTGTAACAATCTCATGATTGGTTTTATGTATATTCAATTATTCATGTATCTCTTGAACAAAGACTGTTGAGTTTTCTTTTATCACTATAAGGATGAATATTGAATGCTAGCACTTTTAAGTCCAGATAGAGTTGAGTATAAGAAGGGAAAGAGTGAGAAAGATAGAGAGTTTGTTGTGCCTTTTTAATTTATTTGGCTAAGTAGATAATATTAAATTCACACCATTATTTCTAATTATTATTTAATTTTTTGAAATGTTACAATTGCTATGCTATTAAGCATTCTCCTATCAGCTTTTAATATTTTTTCTTTTGCTCCATGACAGAATAGTTATCACTCACCGTTGCTATGCTTTTTTTTATTCAATATTGTGCTCTTGTTCAGTGTGACTTTTGGCTAAAACTTTCTATTGTTTGCCAGGTTATGTTTGGCAGGTTGGAGTCTTGCCTTGAATGCTTTGGGGTGGAGTTTTGAGTATGAGCTTGGCGGGAAATGCCTTGGTTGTCTGCTATGGAGTACAGTTTGTTCTGGGGGAGCTTCTTTTACCTTGGAGCTTTTGTTGCCCGTCATAGGAGAGGTTATTTTTTTATTATTATGAGAATGGTTTATGTTGATGCAAGATTTCGCAGCGACTTAGAACGACGTCGTACCTAAAAAACGAAGAGAAAGGTGATCGGGAGGGCACCGGTGTGGTACCGGCCTAAGAGCCTCTGACGATCAAGTCAGTGTTCGATCAGGATGATAGAAAGAAGGTGAAGAGACTCTCTTAGGGATTTGTGTCATGCCTCATTAGTTGACCCGAACCCCTCTTTATAGAGGTACCAAGTTGCATTCAAGTAGGAAAGCTATTGCTTTTACTTTTCCAACGCAGATGGGGAATGCCATGGAAGTACAGTTTGTTCTGGGGAGCTTCTTTTCCCTGGTTTATGCTTTATACAAAGAACTTTTGTTGCCTGCTATAGGAGAGGCTGCTTTTATTATTGTTGTATTTATTTATTTATTATTATTATGAGAACGGTTTATTTGAATTCTTTTTCTTATAATGAGTTGGTATTGTATCAAGGTGATATTAAAACTAAGAGTTGTACTCGCCATCAATTTTCAGGAAGTTGGGGGCGTTAAAGAATAAAAAAAAACAAGAATATATTCTTCTAGTTTTTGGTTTCATGTTAGCTAAATATATGGAACTGTAGAAACCATTGGGTTTCAATTTATTTAATTATTATTATTATTTTATAAAATACAGATTTGACAGATGGAGGAAAAATAAAAGAAAGCATAATATTATTTATGAGATTGAAAAAAAAAAAAAAGGTAAGTAAATGATGGTGTTAACCTCTTAACATGTACACTTGATAAATGAAAAAAAATATAAATTACTAACTTAATATAAAAAAAAGGGCGCGAAATTTGGAGTGTTAGATGCATGCATGCGGTCTTGTCCTCTAGAGAGACTGCACTAACTAGTAATCTTTAAAGTCATAATGGAAGAAACTTACAACATATTATTAACTTAGATACAATTTGAAAAAAATGCTTAAGAGAAAAGAAAGAAAATGATAATTATTTTGTGAATAAACTAGTCAAAACCCGAATTTATTTGCTAAAAATGAAATAAAATAAGAGGCAAAATATATAAATTATTGTGCAAGAAGTTCGTGAGCCTCTGAAAGCTCCAAAACAAAAAGAAAAAAATAAACGTTTTTGTTTTACTATTATTTAAGCATCTATGTTGTCATGTTGAGAACACAATAATAATAGTATAGATATATCTATAAATTATTAAGAAATATTTATTAATTTAATAATAAAATATTATGGATATTATTAAGTGGTTTAGTTGGTAAATTGCCCAACTTGCCGAACAGCTGTAATTGTATTTGAGTTCCCTTCTCCTAGTTTGACAGACAAAAAATAAAAAATATTATTACAATCCATTTTTAATAAAAACTTCTATTTAAAATTTAATATAATCACTACTTGTCTTTAAATTGTCTTGAAAATAAATAACAATAGGAAACAAATATTAATTTATATTTATCAAATTATGTTGTAAGAACTAAGAAGTAGCTTATTGAGAGTAATATTTTGAAAATTATGTGCAAGGTTAAAATATACTACCGCGACAACCATTGTTAGTAAGGTGTTATTTGATAAAATTGAAAATTTTAATAATTAAAATTTAAGTGTTGAAGTTTTTAAGTAGTAATTAAAAAATAAATATTTTTGTTTTTTTAATTTTCAACGTTGAACATTTAAGTGATATTCTTGTCATTTAAATTTTATCCCATTTTACGAAGCGATTATCGCTTTTAGTGATATTCAAATTGTGTAATTAAACGCATTTATGTGCTGTTTGATAACTCAATTCAGCGCTGAATTCTGAACGAATTAAGCGCTGCATTTAATAACGTAATTTGAATATCACTCAAAACGTTAAGCACCAATAACATGGGATAAAATTTTAAGTGATGAACGTTGAAAATTTTAAAAAATATTTATTTTTTAATTACCACTTAAAAACTTTAGCACCTAAAATTAAGTTATTAAAATTTTCAGTACTTAATTTTAAATTTTATCAATCAGCACCTTAAATTTTTTTCAAACATAATTACTGAAGTTTTTAAGTGGTAATTAAAAATAAAATTTTTAAAATTTTCACTGTTCAACATTGAGAGATAGTCTTTGTCATTTAAAATTTTACCCCATTTTAAATGACTCTTTACTGTTTTTCAGTGATATTTAATTTGCTTTATTAAATACATTTAATTAAATAAATTAATAAACGCTTAATCTTTTAATTATTAAATAGTTAACACTTAAAAAAAAAACACTTTAAATTGAATAAATGGTGAAATTATTCAGAAGGAAAAAAAAAATAGTAGTTATTAAACTGCAGTGCAATTGTTCGACTTAAAAAGGGGGGAAAAAAAAATTCCGTAAAATAAAATAAAAACAAGACAATAGAGACGACACTTCCAAAAAAACAGAAATCAGCGCATTGCAAATCTCTTTTTAGGGTTTCTCTTCGTCCGCGAACCAGGTAAGACTCCTTCTCTCTCACTTTACAAATGCACTACATCGAACCCTTATATTGATTTTTATTTATTTTTTTATTTTTGTAGTTTTGGTGTAACCCTAAATGCTGTGTCTTTCAGCTGTTGACATGTGATCGAGCGGGGAAAAACCACCAATTCGAAAATTCTGTGTTACGTTGCAAAAATTATTTGAAAAGGTTAGTAGATTCCATCTTTTCTTGTTACGCTCTCCTCTTATTGTTTGCTAGGTTTTGTTTTTCATCAATCTGATTTGGTCCTTTCCATTGTCTTAGAACATTAAATGGCCTCAAATATTTTACAGTAGTGAGTGGACCACATGTAATCTACATTGTGACTTTTCTATGTGTGAGTGTGGCATGTTTAGTTGTTATGACCAAAGAAGTGTAGGGCTGTTGAAAAGGAACCATGAGGTAGGTAAAAACCTTTATATGATGAGATGAACATATTTGATAGTGTAGAAACAAACGACAAAAAAAAAAATTAAATAAATAAAAAAAGTATCAAGTAGGGGCCTTATGGGGAGATTACCATTTATTTTTTATTTTTTATTTTTATTTTGTTGTGAAGCATCGGTTGTCTCGTCCCTTGTGTCGGGGATGCACTCTTGGCCTTATTTGTCCGGGTGGTGCCTCCGCCGCTGTTAGTTTGAAGAAATTAGAGTGCTCAAAGCAAACCTGTTAGTTCGAAGAAATTAGAGTGCTCAAAGCAAACCTGACTTTGATACCATGTCAAAATTGAAGAGAGAAATAAAAACTGAATAACACAAGGATATACGTGGTTCAACCACTAGGGCATACATCCACAACTCACAAAGGGCTACATATCTTTATTATACTCTCTTGATCTTTGTATATAATGACCATCTCTATTTATAGGTGAAATGCTCTACAAGTATTCTTGCTTTGTAAGTATATTATAATAAAGGAATTATACAGAAAGTCAAATACAGGCATGACAACAAGTCTCATAGCAATATTCTGTCAGGGAGTAATTTAAGTAAGGGTTCTTATAATAATATTCTCCAACACATATTTACTTAAAATTATTTTCTTTTTCCCCTTTGTTGATAACTATAACTCATATGAGCATCCCAACTTGAACTTGGACTTGGCACTTTACCCTTGAGTGTGATAGAAGATATTGGTGGCCACTCATCTCAACGTAGTTTAAGCTCCTTCACAATCTTTAAAGAATTAGAGAATATCCCATTCTTGTAATTGGAACATAGCATGCCATATGAGGATCCTACTGGTTAGAATTCACACACTGTAATGTCACGCGTGACATGTGAGCAATGAGTAGGATATTGCATGCAAAAGTAATATTTTAATTTTCAAGATTTGGAATGTATCCTAAAATATATAACAAGTATCAGACATGTGTTAGAAATATCAGGTGTGTGTTAGAAATAAAAAATAATTATTTTAAAAACATGAATACATTTAGGAAGTATCGGACACGTATCCGTGAATATCCAAGGAGTGTCGATATCTGACATGAACAAGACAAGGGTATGCCCCCCTTATAAAAATATATGTGCTTCATAGCAAAGAACAATTGTTACAAAATTCTTACTTATTTTCTGTCACCTTGCTGCACAAGTGTGACAATATAGAAGGCCATTACCCAATGTGGTATCAATGGAAGGCTCTGTGAGGGTAAATTCGGTACATACTTGACCTTTGACATTATTTTCATAAATTAGGTGCATGGAAAAGTAATATTTTAATTGGAAATATATATATATATATATATATACACACACACACACACACACACACACATATATGATTATTGTTGTATTTCGGCTCGATTGGTTGTGAACTTCTTCGAGCCGAGCTGAGCTCACCCCACTACTCGGCTTGGCTCGTTTACAACCCTATTTGTAAAGTCTAGAGAATTTTCTAAAAGATTAGGGAATTTCGTAGGTTTGTAAATTTATGAGGAAAATTTTAGATAGTAGATAGGATGCCTATAAATAAGTGGGAATCTCATTTGTAACCAAGAAGTTAAGCTACAAGAATGAGGGTGAGGCACCAACACAAGTGTCTAGAGTTTAGCTAGTATCAAATAATGTTACAAACTTGCCAAGATATTGGTGTAATATCTTGGAGGGTGGAAAGTAAATTGTTGCCTCCATAATTTTCCTACAAATGAAAGAATGTTGTTTTTCTTACAAGTTCTGCAACACGCTTAAAAGTTAAGACAAATTCTCTTAGACCTTAGAAGATTTATTTAGTGGCTTAGGGCATCCGGTATGTACTCATGTTATCTATCCACTTTTTGAAGTGGATTGCCACATCAGCACACTTTAATAAAGTGTGTTGACGTGGCTATCCACTTTTTTTTACTAACTTTGTCTCATGGTGTGCAACCTACTGTTTCGCTATCCATTTTATTATTTTATAACTAATTTATTTAAAAAATTAAACAAAAATAAATTTTTTATTTTATTATTTTTTAATTTATTTATTTACAAAATTAAATGAAAAAAAATTAAAGAAGATTCTCATGTGAGAAAGAAGTGACAAACTGTATACATATGTTTGCAAATTGTGAGTGGAGGTTTTTCCTATCTCTTATTTGGGGTTGCCATTGGGTGTTTCTTCGAGGAGAGTTGCTGTGTGAGATCCAGTGGTGGAACGTTTTCAAAAGAGGTTATCGGGGTGGAAGAAGCAATATTTGTCGAAAGGGGGAAAACTTACATTGCTGAAGAGTACCTTAGCTAATCTTCCTACATATTTCATGTCTTTGTTTCCAATTCCTAAAATAGTGAATGTTAGACTTAATAAGATTGTGAATTGGGAGAAAGTGTGTACCCTGATTCAAAGAGGTGGATTGGGAGTGCGCAGGTTGGATATGTTTAATAAAGCTATGTTTGGGAAATGGTTATGGAGATTTGGATGCGAAAGGTCCGTGTTTTGGAGGTGTGTTATTGCTTGCCGGTTTGGGGAAGAGGAGGGAGGTTGGGTGTCTAGAGGTGTGAATGCATGGGCATGGAAAGGTATTAGGAGGGGGTGGGATGAATTCTCTAAGCGGATATGGTTTCGAGTTAGGGATTGTAGTTTTGTGAGGTTTTGGACGGATGTTTGGTGTGGGGATGTGGTGTTGGCTTGTAGGTTTCCTAGACTTTATAGGATGGTTGAGGTGAAGCATGCGGTGGTGGCAGATTATTTTAGGTTAGAGAATGGGAGAGCTACTTGGGATGTGAGATTTCGCAGAAATTTTATTGATTGGGAGTTGTTGGAGTTTACCGAGTTAATGGGATTAATCTATAGCCAAGTGATGGAGGGGGAAGGAAGGGACGAGATGGTGTGGAAGGGGGATTCTAGAGGGGTGTTTAATGTGAGGCTGTTTTATAAAAGTCTTACGAGTTTGACGAGCAACGGGTTTCCTTGGAATGCTTTTTGGAGGACTTCAGCTTCAATAAAGGTGGCTTTTTTCACGTGGACAGCGTGGCTTGGCAGCATTCTTACTTTGGATAATCTCAGAAAAAGACACCAAATAACAGTTAATTGGTGTTGCATGTGTAAGAAGGCGGGTGAATCGGTTAATAATCTCTTGTTGCATTGTTGAGTGGCAGCGGATGTGTGGAGTCTGATGCTGAATGTTTTTGGGGTGGAATGGGTAGTGTCAAGTAATACGAGGGATATGTTAGAAGCTTGGAGAGGGAATAGAGTAGAAAGTTGGGTTAGGAAGGCGTGGAGGGTTGCACCTCTTTGTATTTGGTGGGGGTTGTGGCATGAGAGGAATAGGAGATCTTTCGAAAGATAGGAATCGTCGGTGTGGGTTATCAAGGCGAACATTTTACATTCTCTGTATTCTTGTGTTAATGGGAAATACTGCCCATCTGTAGATTGTTTATTGGATTTTGTTTGACAACTTATAGTTGTATTGACCCATTTGCGTTTTTGTTTTGTTTTGTAAGGGTTCGCTCCCCTCTGAGCATGTTTGTTTATACATCTTTATGTACCAAAAAAAAAAAATGTTTGCAAATTGTGAGAGAATAACTTGTGAGGGAGAGAGAGAGAAAATGGGTGGGGACCACAAAAAGTTAGTAAAAAGTTAAAAAGAAGAGAAAGAAGTGACAACAGAGAGTTTCAATATACACTACTCCGTTCTCCACCTGTGGATATAGTAGTAGACAATGGGGGGTGGGGCCCACTGACTTGGCACTCCACTCCCCATGCACACTAACTCCCCCTCTCTCTACTTTCTACAGATATTATCTATTATTGGCTGCACCCCGGATGCTCTTAGTGCGTGCCATGTCATCATCATCAAACCATCTGAGTGAATGTCTTTAATCAGATTAATATGTATACATATATATACTTAGAAGAAAAAGGAAAAGAAAGGGGACTAACGTCATTAACTTCATCTAATATGACTATAATTTATTACACTTACCAATCAGTTCCTAGTAATTTGTATTTTATAGTGAATAGTGACTCTTTGTAGCTTTGTTGGCTACGAACTAAGTATATGTTTTATGGATTTATATCCAATGAGATTCTTTATTTCCCTCATTTCCATAAAATTAGATGATGAAGTATTTCTTCTATTTTTACCTTTTATTCTCCTCTTTTTTTCCTTCTTTTCTTCATCACTTGGCATGATAACATTGAACCACAATGAGAGCGTTCTCTATATATTTTTGGTATTTTATGCTCTTTATCATTCTGTTAATTTGTGCGAGTGCTATAAGGCTTCAGGGCCGGCTCAAAATAAGTTGAGGCCTAAGACAAAAATTCCAAGCGAGGCATCCACTGTTGCAATTCCATTCTCACCACTACGACGCCACCACAAACCATTCTTTTACCTCCAAATAATCTCTCATCACTTGTATGTTGTTTGTCAGTTACTATGTGCGCTCCCTACACTAATGTAACTTATTCGTCATCCACTGTTGTTTGTCAACCCCCCTCCAACCTCATATACTTACACATAATAATCACTAGACCAAACAAATGCATTGAGACATGTCATACCCCGAAATCATCTACATACCTGCCTAAACACTCCATTATGTTACACTACAATTACTTTTATTCTTTACTATTCTTAAGAATAGCAAGAAGTATTTAAAATGACCTCAATATATAACAAGAAACATCATTGATACGAGTAATGGTAGAGATTACTAAAGATACCATTATAGTCGTCAAATAAACAACATAGAGAATCAACAATAAAAAAAGGTTAAATTTGAGAGTTTAGGTTGTTTAAATTGATTTCTTACCAAAGTTACTAAGTATGAATTTTACAATAGTAGTAATAATAATAATAAAAAAAAAAAAAGTGAGAGACGTTGAAGATATAGAAGAGGCTATTTATATATTGATATTCATTCTGTGAAATACACAGTGTATGCAATAATGTTATACATTTAAAAAATGAATTTACATGAAATTAGAAAGATTACATAATAACTAAGAGAGAACAAAATAAATGTTGCGACTTGTGAATGAAAAATATTCCAAAAATCTCAACAGTTAAATTAGGAACAAACAAAAGCAGTGCCTTTATTCGTCTATATAGGAGTGGAATATAGTTGATCTCACTCTCCATGGTAAACAATCTTGGATACGGTGGCAATTTATCACCTTAGTAGATAATTATTCTTCAAAATTAAATGTAAAAGTAAGACTAATAGGAGTTCTCTTGCAACCCCATGTTGTACATAAATTACTTTAGGTGCTATGTGCATGTAAAGCCACCACACTTTTACAGGTTTTCTCTTTCTCTTTTGTTTTTATTATTTCGTTTTTTCCTTTTGTTTTAATCTTATAAAGTTGGTGATTTTGTTGGAAATAATTTTGAGTTGACTAGATATCTACCTCTTTTGAGGCTTTGGATGGCCCTCTGTTGGAGTTTGCCAAACTTACCATGGGGGATTGGGTGTCAGCTCGATCAGCTGGGCCAATCTAACTTTTAGAAGTCTATTTATAATTTGCATGTATCCCTTTTATGCGTGTGTCGTGAAGTTTGTCCTTGAATTGTACGTTTGAAGTTACTAATCTTTTGTAGCTGGTATTGGGAATGTGTGAGAGTGTTTGTTTCAAGTCATTGTGGTAATTCGGTTATCTATATTTGCACTTTACAATCTGTTTTTACACTGTGATTTTGATATACCTCTTTTTACTATCTAATCGTCTATTCATGTAACATCTTACTTATGATCTTTATTTTTTGTTAATTAGATGTCATTAAGACGGAATGGAGGGGTTAAATTAAAAGTTGAGCCTGACCCTGCTACTTGGACAGCCTTAGAGGAGATAACTTTTATTGAGTTAATGGTAAGAGAGGTTCATAACGGAAATAGGTCCTCAACAACCTTTTCAAGGAAAGGTTGGAAACATATAGCACAAGAGTTCTGTAAGAAGACTAACAAGAGGTACAATTACTCTCAGTTTAGAAACAAGTTCAACCAGCTGAGGACCCGTTATCATGATTTTAGTAAGCTGTTGAAAGAACCTGGGTTTGCTTGGGACCCTGTGCTCAATACAGCCACTGCTACTGATGGCGTGTGGGAATCATACATAAAGGTCAGCACATTATCATTTATATCTTGAAATTGAAGGCAATTTTCTTTTGAAAATTTAGATAATGTAGTTGTATAATTTTTAATGTAGGTAAACAAAAATGCAAAGAGGTTCCGGAAAAAGGGGTGCACCATGTTTAATGAATTGGGGATCATATTTGGTGATCCAGTAGTAACATGCAAAGATGCATTTCCTTTAGCTCAGTATCCTTCTGTAAGTGAAGATGCATTCGATTTAGAAGATGAATCAACAAATGCTACTCCCTCTGCATACCCAAGTGAAAGTAGCAATGGTAAAGGTTTTCCCTCGAAAAGTTCTGAACGGCGTAGGCAACGATCTCCCTCTCCAGCAAGCAATATTCGAGTGAAGAGAGAGGCAAGAACAACTGTGGATGGGGAATCGTTGAAGGAATGGGCCGAAACTACAGTACCATCAGGAACATCCAATAAAAAATGGGCTGAAGCTACAAAGGAAGAGGCCCCAACCTTCCAGAGACTTGATGCATCTACCCAACCTAGTGCATTCTCAATTACCAATTGTGTCAAGTGTCTAGAGTCGATTGAAGGTGTGGGTGCAAGTACTTACATAAAGGCAATCAAGATGTTTAAGGATGTGGATTGGAGGGAGATGTTTATGGCAATGTCAGCTGAGAGAAGATTGGATTGGTTAGCTAGTCTAGAATGATATATATTATATTGTTGTTTGAGACTCTTTTTTTAAACCCTATTATTCCTGAAATATATTTAGCTATGTTATATATGTTTGATGCCCATACATTTGTGCTTGATATGGATTTAGAGATGCTTATTAGTTCTATTTGGCACACAGTCTGCATTTTGATTAAGATGTGTAAGATATGTCAGGGTTGCTTGGTTTATATGCCGATTCTGTCACTTTTGTCCTGCAAATGAATCAGCTATGCACTTTTGTGTATTGAGATGGATGCCTCTCAGACATTGTCGGAAGGAATTCCCTTATGGCTCTCAGATTGTAAAGCTGTTATTGTAAGGTCAGAATACCAACGTAAGCCATCCGTTTGTAAATCTTGAGAAAAGAGGTATTCATTTAATCTCCATCTGCCATTACTGTATGAAGAAGGTCAAGATACTACTGATCGCATATGTTTTGGGGCTGCTGCTTTGCAAAAGGAACTTGGAATTGGTTGAAAGGCTTTGGAATTTGCCTTGTATTTCCTCCTCTTATCAACTTCTTCACCGGTTCATTTCTTCGTTCAAATTTAGCCGACTGGAATGGATTGTAATTTGATCATGTTTTTGCCTTTGTTCCTACTGGAAATGGAGTTGTTCTCAGTATTGTATTGTGAGGGAATGCTCTCACTTTTTAGCCTTGTACTCTATTTCTTCTTTTGTTTAACACAAATCACAATTAGGGGGGAAAAATGTTCTTTTTGGTAGGTATATAACATCATATAAGAACTCAACTTACAGGTTACAAAAAATATACAGTTAAGGTATTAGGTATACCCTTCAAAAATTCTATACAGGTTACACAAAATTTACAATTAAGATATTAGATATACTCCTTCAAAAAATCAACAAGAAGGAAAATTCAAGACAGTTACCGTTTTTCAAAAGCTAGTTCACAGTGATGTGGGAAGTCCTCTGCTCTGTTATTTTATGTGGGCTTGTTTCGGTTGGTTCTTTCACCTGTTTCGAGCTGTCCTTAACTCTGCGAACGGCATTACTATTCCTTCCATTGTTCTGATCCTCATTTCTGGTAGTGCTGGTGCTAATATTGCTATCTTCCTGACTGCTTAAGCTCTGGCGATTTGCCCGGGTGCCCACAGTCTTCTCATCCTGAGACGAGCAAGATGCATCGCCAAAGCTCTTTTTCCGGCTCAGTTTTGGTGATTTGGCACGAGTCAGTGGCGGCTGGCATCCAACTGACCAAGTAAGTTTCATTGTCTAACGAAAGTTGCAGGTAAAGAACAGAAAATTGTGTACTGCTGTACTTTAGCTTTTCGCTGTCTCGTGCTGTTTGTGAAGTTTATCACTTTCAATGGTAAAAATTTCGTTGGTAAAATTCACCTTTGAAAGTGGTGAACATCACCAACCGTACGAACAGAAAATCATCACTAGGGAAGATTCGGGTTTAGAGAAATACAGACACTAAGATATGTATTTATTTAACCTATGTTTTTTAATTTATTATGCAGGTGTATATGTAGGCAGAATTATTATGATACTTCGGCCTACAAATAGACCGATTTGTTAAAGATAGGCTTTAACAAATCGGTCTATTTGTAGGCCGGACTATCATTTTCCTAGGCAAATGAGAAAAACCATCAAAGGCTATAGAGGGTTCAAGTTTCCACAGACAATGTGAGTTATATATGTTTGATCCAGCACATTAATACCCTACTATCTTTCCCTAGCCCCCAAACATTTTCTCCACACCCGTGTTGTTAAGAAAAATACTATTGAAGAGAGAAACTAAGCATGAATATAACGTGGTTCAGACTTTAGCCACTACTACATACATCTACGGTACACAAAGCCCAATGAGGGTTACATCTCTTACATTATATTCTCTTAATTTTGTTTAAAATGACCACTTTTATTTACGGTAAAAGAACACAAACACGTGATGAATATGCAAAATATATTGATGAAGGATTCCTAAAATCAATCCTTGAATCATTCCTATCAATATTCTATTATATCAATGCTCAAATAGCTCCTACAATCAATGGAGTAGATATTGGGTGGGCCGGGCATACCAGGTTATTGATATGTCCAACCAATGAAAATCAATATAACAGTTAGTTAAGAGGAGTTTTCAAAAATAAGTGGGACCAACCCTACAATGATATTCTCTCACACATTTCTACAAGTCTCTTCCTCAGCCTCTAAAACCTTTCAGTCGTTGCAAATTGATTCAAATCCATATGTTTGTTGCTGTGGAAACACAATTGAGACTAATAACTAATTGAAACCCTTATGCTTGTTGTGGAAACACAGTTGAAACTCAAGATATGGTTGTTGCTGTGGAGACACAAAGCTAGGACTGAGATTATTACCTACGGAAGATTTCAGGTGATTTGCATTTTGCTTTCTAATCATGTCTTCTATGCTCCTTGAATTTCTCTCTTTGTTCATAATTCCATTTTTTATATCAATCTACGCAAACTACGAATTTACAAAATAAATTTTAGAATCTAGACTTCTTCAAGAGGCTGCTCAGGAAACCATATAACCATGGACAGACGCGCACAAGAGAGAGAGAGAGTAGAAGAAGAAGAAGAAGATATATATATATATATATATATATATATATATATATATATGTATATGTATGTATACAAACGGAGTCGGCAATATGGATTCTCTTTTTCCAATTTTGTCTATCATAAGCCATTTCTCTTACTAAATTTAATTTTTTAAAATCATTTTTCATCAGTCCATATTAATTTTGGTAGACCTGTTTGGATTTTTTTTTACCTTCTTTGCAAATCAATCATCTCCTCCACTGGTGCATCTATAGGTTGGCTCTGTATATGTTCATACCACCCAAGTATTCTTTCTCTTGTTTTTTTCTTTAATAACCTAATTTCTCCCTAATTCTTTAATTATTAATTCTTCATCATTCCTAATTATTCCTAACATCGATATAAGATTTTTAAACATACATAAGACTCATAAATAAATATTGGAGAAATCACTAATGGGCCAGTGATCTAGCGGTATCAGGCTCTTATTTTTCAAAGGGAGGTCAAGGGTTCAAGCCTCGACATGTGTGTGTGAGTACCAACTAGGAAAAAAAAATATATATATTGGAGAAGTCTGAACAAAGTACCTTCTTTAGTTCAACCTTGGGTGGAGGTCCTTTACGGTAAAAACTGGGCATTGGATTTGCTTTGACCACCAAGTTCTTTCTGAGCTGCTTTATAGCTGCTTCTTCGGCCTCCTGAAAGTAGCAATGAGCATAAAAGGAATGAGAGGGTTATGTTGCTAATGGCCTATCAAGACAAAATTGTGATGCAAAATAGTAACACATGGAGAAAGTAATACAATAAGGCTCCGTTTGTTTTGATATAAAATATTTTCTTCGGTCGAGGTCGAGTCATCGGGTGGGGTGTGTAAAATAACTTGCCAAAATCTTCATAAATATTTTACGACAACCAAACACCAAAAAATAAAAAAAAATATTTTCTAAAAAATCCAACAAATGGGAGCATAAATCCACACAAGGAAGTAATGCACCTTTATCTTAGCTTCAACTTCCATTTTCTCTGCTTCCAGAGCCTGACGCTTTTCTTCTAACTTCGAGTAATACTAGTAAAAGGAGAAATCATGGAAAAAAATCACATGTAGCGTTTCAACAAAAGCTATTGACTGGAAAACAATTTGACAAAATGCAGTTCGATTCAAAGATCAATTAAGTAAATACCTCCTTGCGTTTCTCTGCACGTTCTACGCATCTAAATACCGGAGCGACTGCAACAGTTGTCTTCGATTTTGCTGAATGGGAAGATGCTCCAGCACTAGGCAAGGCTAAGGGTTGTTCTTATTCCAAGATAGTAACATTAATGATAGTGGACATTAACTGAATTACATATGAAAAAAAAATAAAGTATTAAATTTAGACTGCAGTAGAGGATACGAGGATGCTGTAGACGTGTTATCTTCTTCATCTGTATGCTTCTTGACATCAGATTGCAGGGGTTTCCTCGTAGACGCGTTATCTTCTTCATCAGTATGCTTCTTGACATCAGATTGCAGGGGCTTCCTCGTTGATGCGTTATCTTCTTCATCCATATGCTTCTTCACATCAAATTGCAGGGGCTTCCTTGACACCGGAGGAGAGTTTGGCTGGGACAAAGTGCAAAATTCTCCATATTAGCATGATCTCAAAATCTACAAATTCCTCGTTCTCTGATATTGCTATATCTATATATATATATATATTCCTGGAAAGTTCAAGCAAGTGCATAAACATCCACAACATATTGCTCATTACGAGGCTTGAACACTCAACCTCCCCTTTGGGAGAAGAGAGCTTGAGGATTTCAGGAGAAAAGAAAAATAGGACTTACGTGCAAGGAAAGAGCTATTGGCTGGAATGGTTTGTTTTGGGCAGCTGAACCATAACAGTTACCAAATTCCTTTACTTTTTTTTGAAACAAATTTATGGGTTAAGTTAGACACCTCAATGCAATACACCAAGTTGTAGGTGAAACAAGCACAATTTGTTCAGCCCATTCAACCATTCTGTATTTGATGATTAATAATGCTAGAAAATGCAAATGAGCATCAATGTATGTGCAGATTACTGTGTAACTTAAAAAATTCACATGTACTGTGTAAAATAAAAAATAAAAAAATAAAACTGAACACAAACATAATGAAAAGATAAATCAAAGCTATATACTCAAAACCAATGTCATGTTTTCCCGTGGTAGTTTTGCTTTTAAAAGAATTCGAGGCTTTCCTTTTCTGAACACCCACACAACTTGGGAACAGGAACCTTTGGTTTTTTTTTTTTTGGTGGGGGGAGGGGGGCAATTATTTACTCAATATATAGATTGAAGAGTAGAAAGTGATGTCATCTAATCACATATAACCATTATCAAATTAATTTACCTGTGAAATCTTTGCAGTGTTGGGAGAGTGCAAAATTTTAGCATTTGATGAACAGTTTCCACCGGTCTCAATGGTAGTTTCAACCCCGACAGGACTAGTTTCAGCTGAAACCTGCTTCTTAGTTGCAGGAGAAGATGGTTGTGAAATTGCATAGTTTGTTTGAATGTTTCCGGCAGAAGAAAACCCTGATGCTGGTTTAACAGGGGAGCTTGATTTGTTATCGCTCGACTTCTGAACTTCAGGACGAGTTATGGTTGAAACTTGCTTCTCAGTTGTAAGAGTAGATGGCTGTGAAACCGTGTGTTCTGTTCGAATGTTTTTAGGAGAAGAAGCCCCTGATGCAAGTTTAACAGGTGAGCTTGATTTGTTATCTCTTGATTTCTGAACTTCAGGATGAGTTAAGGTTGCAACTGGCTTCTTAGTTGCAAGATCAGATGGCTGTGAAATAGTGTGGTCTGTTTGAATGTTTTTAGGAGAAGATAATGCTGGTTTAGGTTTACCAGGCGAGCTTGATTTGTTATCACTTGACTTCTGAACTTTAGGACGACTTACGGTTGAAACCTGCTTCTCAATTGCAAAATCAGATGGTTGCGAAACAATGTGGTCTGTTTGAATGCTTCCGCTAGAAGAAAACCCTGATGCAAGTTTAACAGGTGAGCTTGATTTGTCTGTTTGAATGTTTTTAGTAGAAGGAAACCCTGATGTAGGTTCAACAGGTGAGCTTGATTTATTATCGGTTGACTTCTGTACTTCGGGATGAGTAAGGGCTGAAACCTGCTTCTCAGTTGCAAGAGCAGATGGATGTGAACCATTGTGGTCTGTTTGGATGTTTTCAGCAGCAGAAAACCCTGATGCAAGTTTAACAGGTGAGCTTGATTTATCATCACTTAAGTTCTGATCTTCAGAACGAGTAACAGTTGCAACCTGCTTCTCTGTTGTATGAGCAGAAGGCTGTGAAACATTGTGGTCTGCCTGAATATTTTCAGTAGGAGAAAATTCTGATGTAGGTTGAACAGGAGAGCTTGATTTGTTATCGCTTGACTTCTGAACTTCAGGACGAGTTAAAGTTGAAACTTGATTCTCAGTTGCAAGAGCAGATGGATGTGAAACATTGTGGTCTATTTGATTATTTTCTGTAGAAGAAAACCTTGATGCAGGTTTAACAGGTGAGCTTGATTTGTTTTCACTTGAGTTATTATCTTCTGGGCGAGTTACGGCGGAAACTTGCTCCTTGGTTGCAATAGCAGATGGCTGTGAAATAGTGCTGTCACTTTGAATGTTTTCAGCAGAAGAAAACCCTGATGCAGGTTTAACAGGCGAGCTTAATTTGTTATTGCTTGAATTCTGAACTCCCGGACTTGTAACGGTTGAAACTTTCTCAGTTTCAAGATTAGACGGCTGTGAAACAGTGTGGTTTGTTTCAGTAGAAGAAAACCCTGATGCAGGTTTAATTGGTGAGCTTGATTTATTATCGCTTGACTTCTGAACTTCGGGATGAGTTAAGGTTGAAACCTTCTTCTCAGTTGTAAGAGCAGATGGCTGTGAAACATTGTCTTCTTTTTGTATGTTTCCAACAGAAGAAAACTCAGATGCCAGCTTAATAGGTGAGCTTGATTTGTTTTCACTTGATTCATGAACTTCGGGACTACTTAGGCTTGAAACCTGCTTCTCAGTTACAAAAGCTGATGGTTGTGAAGCTGTGTGGTCTGTTTGAATGTTCTCAGCCGAAAAGGTTGATTTGTTATTGCTTGACTGCTCGATTTTGGGATGAGTTACAGTTGAAAGTAGCTTCTCAGTTGCAAGAGCAGATGGCTGTGAAACAGTTTGCTCTCTTTGAATGTTTCCAATAGAAGAAAATCCTGATTCAGGTTTAATAGGCGAGCTTGATTTTTTATCGCTTGACTTCTGAGCTTCGAGATGAGTTACATTTGAAAGCTTATTCTCAGTTGCAAGAGCAAATGGTTGTGAAACAGTGTTGTCTGTTTGTATGTTTTCAATAGAAGAAAACCCTGATGCAGGTTTATTAGGTGAGCTTGATTTGCTATCGCTTGAGTTATGAACTTTGGGATGAGTTACGCTTGAAACCGGTTTCTCAGTTACAAAAGCTGGTAGTTGTGAAGCTGTGTGGTCTGCTTGAATGTATTCAGCCGAAGAAAACCTTGATGAATTTTTAACAAGTGAGGTTGAATTGTCATCGCTCAACTTCTGAACTTCGGAATGAGTTACGGTTGATGGTTGTGGAACAGTGTGCTTTGTTTCAATGTTTCCAATAGAAGAAAATCCTGATTCAGGTTTAACAGGCGAGCTTGCTTTGTTATCGTTTGACATCTGAGCTTGAAGATGAGTTTCGGTTGAAACCTGCTTCTCAGTTGCAAGATTAGATGGCTGTGAAACAGTGAGTTCTGTTTCAATACTTTCAGTAGAAGAAAACCCTAATGCAGCTTTTACAGGTGAGCTTAATTTGTTATCGTTCAACTTCTGTACTCCTGGATGAGTTACAGTTGACCCCTCATTCTCAATTGTCGGTTGTGAAACAATGTGGCCTATCTGAATGTTTTCAGTAGAAGAAAACTCTGATACAGGTTTAACTGGCGAGCTTGATTCATTATCGCTCAACTTTTGAGCTTTAGGATGATCTTCGATTGAAACCTGCTTCTCACTTTGAAGAGCATATGGCCGTGAAATAGTGTGGTCTGTTTGAATGTTTTCAGCTGGAGAAAACACTGATGCATGTTTATTAGGTGAGCTTGATTCGTTATTGCTCGACTTCTGAGCTTCAGGATGAGTTTCGATTGAAACCTGCTCCTCACTTTCAAAAGCATATGGCTGTGAAATAGTGTGGTCTATTTGAATGTTTTCAGTTGAAGAAAACCCTGATGCATGTTTATTAGGTGAGCTTGATTCGTTATCGCTTGACTTCTCAGCTTCAGGATGAGTTTCGATTGAAACCTGCTCCTCACTTTCAAAAGCATATGGTTGTGAAATAGTGTGGTCTGTTTGAATGTTTTCAGTTGAAGAAAACCCTGATGCATGTTTATTAGGTGAGCTCGATTCGTTATCGCTCGACTTCTGAACTTTAGGTTTCAAGAATCTCCCCTCAGGTAGACCAACATCACTGTTGGTGCTTCGTATGCCTGGTACATCCTGTTTTTCGTGCAATTCTTCAGCAAAAGATCCCTCTGTGGCATGAGCCTCGGCTTCGTATTCATTTGCTTCAATGCTCTCTCTTGAAATTCTGGGAGAAACATGAGCTGTTGTATCATCGGAGACATCATTAAAGTTCGCCTTGACAGGATTAGGCGTCCTGCCAACGCGTAAACCGGTAACATTCCTCCTTTTTCTTCCCATCGCCCTGCATGAAAACCAGGCAAATGCATCATAATCCGTCTCTCTGCGAGCTGTTGTGTGTATGTATGTGTGTGTGATAGAGATAAAGATGAGAAAAGAACCCTTCATTACAAGTAAACATTAACAAAGTATCCAAAAACAAAACACCCAAAAAGTAATTTAGAGAGAGAAGTACCAAAAAAGAACAATTCACACCATTAGAGGACAACCAGATCAAGAAAAAAAAAAAAACACACACACACACAGAGACCCAAAAATGTATGTGAAAGGAAGATTTCTTACACTTTATGTTAACACCAAAATGTGAACACCTCTTTTTGCGTTTCTCTGATTTATCTGTCTCCAAATGCGCACAAATGTTTTCTACGGTTTTCCTTTCTATAAGTAATTTGTTTGGCCACTGACGAAGCCGTATATGTCGCTCTATTGTCTATATTTATCAACTTGGACTTAAAACATGAACCTTTGGATAATATTACTAAAAATAGATAATTTAATGAAAATCACTACTCTTCTTATCACGTATATCTAGTGACATCCATTAATTCAACTAATTTTTTTGAGTGATGCTTGTGTAAGCGATTTAGTTATAAACTCAGGGTTGTAAGACATTGTTGTAATTTATAGTAATTACTTATTATTTATTTATTTTAATTTTAGAACAGTAAAAAAAAAAGTGTATATTGTCATTATTCATTAAGATGTCAAATGGGGAAAAAAAAAAAACGAAACACTTCTTATTAATATTTTTTTCCCTAACAGACTCTTCCTATTTAGATTTGACTAAAAGGTATGCCAAACTAAAAAAAAAAAAAAAAAAAAAAAAAAAAAAAAAAAAAAAAGAATTGTTTATTTTTTTGGGTTCCACATATCCAAAATCATTTTTCAAATTAAAATCTCTTTTAGTCACTCCAATAGCTACGGACACGTGCTATATATATATATATATTCTGCGTGACTAAAAATTTCAAATTAAAAAGCAGCAACATCAAGCGGGCAATTAGAGATAGTAATACGTCCACCGCTCTTTATATATATATATATATATATATATACACATACAGTAATGTTTAACTGCCCCGTCATGCTCTCTGGTGAGTAGGAAAAAGTATACTCAAGACAATGCTTGAGTCTTGCCTTATCAGGACAATTTTAGTCCTGCAAGCTGAGTTGACCCAATAAGAGATTGACATCTCTATTTAATTCTAAAAAATACAAAGAATGGGTTTTACCCATTTACTTAGGGCTGGACGGACATATCATTCATTTCCTTTTTGTTTCTTTCTCCTATCTTCATTTCTTTTTTGTTTCTCTCACGTCATACTCCCATGTCCATAGGTCTTACCCTCGCCACATATTGTAGAATTTGTAAAATACCAATGGAGGTGCTAAAAAATGTAAGATATATATATATATATTCGGAAACATCGCTCAATCCCTTGATTTCAGACAGTGTTATGGTCTTAGCAAGGATTGATTCAATTTTTTTTTTTTCCTCTTGATTCACATTCTTGAAGCAGGTATATATTTTCAAACATTATATTTTTCAATGCAAATTGTTCTTTCTTCTTTTAAAGAGCATAAATCAAGTTTTGTTGAATTTTTGTTCAAAACGAGCTTAATTCAAGTTTAATTGTGTTCAAATCTTGGGTTTCTTTCCTTTCTAAAACAAAGGCTTTTGTTTGTTTCCTTTTCCTCTCATACTTATTTAGGTTCGTTTTCCATATATAAATAAAAAAAAGGATATTCTTCTTATTTTTTTCCTAAATCTTATTCTTTATTTTGATTAAATAAAAAATGTATTGATAGTATTAGAGTGAAGTTTCATTCAATTATGTTATATATATATATATATATATGCTCTTTAGCATAAGGGAAGAAATGTTCTATAGCTTATCCTTTCTATAGCTTATCCGATCATCACTTCTTCATTCCAAAAAAAAAAAAAAAAATCATTTAAAAAGTGAAACAAAAGAAAGGTAAAGTGAATAGGCTTTTTCTTCAAATTCTAATCTTCAAGGAAAGAATAGGAATTCCTTGTAATGCATAAACCGAATATATATATATATATATATATATATATATATATATATATATATATATATCTCTTACATTTTTAGCACCTTCATTGCTATTTTACAAATTCTGCAGTTTGTGGTGAGGGTAAGACCTATGGACACGAGAGTATGATCTGAGAGAAACAAAAAAAAAAAAAAAAATGAAGATAGGAGTGAGAAACAAAAAGAAAATGAATGATATGTCGGGTCTAGCTCTAAGTAAATCGGTATAACCTATTCTTTGTATTATTTAGAATTGAATAGAGGTGTCAATCCCTTATTGGGCCAACTTAGCTCTAGGAATAAAATTGTCCTGATAAGGCAAGACTTAAGTATTGTCCCACTTTTAATTATAGTCTTATGATCTAATCCGACAGCAATTAGTTAATTTGCATTTCTTTACTCTATTTAAAGAAACTTACACATTCTTTTCATTACCATTAAATATAATTAAAATGAAATGACCAAAGTAGACCTTCATTAAAGGAAACAAAAATGAAAGAATTTAGCTAGTCGGTTGCCCTGTAGGCAGATGAGAGAAGGTTCAGACAGACAGACAAAAAAAAAAAAAAACAGAAGAAGAAGAAGATGAAGAAAGAAAAGAATTTGTGTATAAAAAACGGGCACCAAAGAAAAAACAGGATAACAAAGATATATATATATATATATTTTCAGTAATTATGTATATAAAAAAAAATTATTATGATAACAAGATTTGACCAGGAAAAAAAAAAAAATTACAATCTGGTGCTGCAATCCATCCCAATTGTGCAGCAATGCAACTCTACATGGTTCCTTGTTGAGAAATTTTTTGCCACAGGGAACTAAATTCAAGATTGGATTGCAAAGAATTAAACTTATTAAATTTATTAGCCAATTCATCCCAATTGTTGGTGGAAAGGATTTACCGGTTCTTATTGAACTTATTAGCCAATTCATGCAACGATTGTTTTGGACTGCAATTTCTATCCAATTCAAGATTGTTTCTATACCACCCATGAAATATTACATTTGGCCCCCTACAATTACTAAAAAAATTGCACTTTTACCCTCTAAAATTCATTTCTGTCCCTTCTTACCTTACATCCTGGCTCTAGCTCTGTCCATAGAATTTCTAATTTTATTCATTCATTCAATGTATTGACATCTTATGAAAATTGAATAACCCCATTATTTTAAACTTGGCATTCAAACAACGAGAGTACGGAAATGGAATGGGATATAACTATATATACTAGGGTGAAAATGTATAGTTATGTAACCAATCCCAATAAGCCCATCATTTTGGGAGGCCCTAGGCAAAATGTTCTAAATACGAAAGGCCCTAGTCCCTTGGCCTAGTGTTTTTTTTTTTTTTTTTCAAACAAATTGGAAGTCCTAGGCGATTCCTTGGTCGCTTATGTAACCAAGCACCAAAAAACAATGATAAAGGAAGGAACATCGTCTTATGGGACATCCAAAAGCAAAAATAAATAAACAAATAAGGGTTAAGTTCAAAAAATACTCATTTACTATCGATATAGTGTATAAGGTTCCTGTGTGGTAAAAATATCCCATATATTATCAATTTGATGCAAATAAATTCATGTGTGATATAAAATGACAACAATATCCTCACTTCAGTTGAATAAATTAATAATTATAAATACAGGCCATGTAAAATGACCATTTTGTCCAATTTATGTAGAATTGTGTTTGTTTGGGACAAGAATAAAATAAACCTCAATTTGTATAAAATGAGATAAGTTAAACCAAAGAAACCTAAAACTGGATATAATAAAAACCAAACCAAACAGCCCCTACAATATAAGACACACATTGTCGCCACTATTTATCAAAAAAAAAAAAACAAATATATATATATTTATATTTAAGATATATATACACAGTCATCAACGACTGCTGCACTTCCTCCAGCCACTTCTCAGCATCCTTCTCAATAGTCATCCCATTGTCCTTGGCTCTGTTGATAGCTGCTTGGATCCTGTCTCTCAAACCTTTAAGATCATTCACTTCTTTTAACAAATTCTAAATATTTTCTTTGTATTTAACCAAACAACCAATTTGACGCCGAATTGATGCCACCAAATAACAGAAATGAAGATGTCGCCTCCTCTCCACCATGGCCACCGCCTCCTCCCACCGCCCATGCCGCCTCCTCCCTACTATGGCCGCCGCCTCTTCCCCACCCACAATCACACATAGGGTATTCCATTGTGTTTACCCTAACATAATTTTAATTTATCTGTTTATTGAATTGATCCTTAGCCTTCCTTCGTCTCAAAGCTCTGTGCTGTCAACTTCCTCAATGATACAGAACTCAGCTTTGCCCTTGGAGATTGAAGGTCAACAGGGTAAAACCCCCCTCTACGCCGAAACCTTAGATTCTTTTAAGAAAAGGGGTTGCGGAATCTTGTGACAGATCGGGGAGAGAGAGAGAGAGAGGGGGAGGAGAGAGAAATGGGTGTTATTATTAACATACACATTTAAAAAAAGTAAGAATTAATTTTACACAAAGTCTATATATTACGAATTTTTTACACTTAACCCAAATAAATAAATACCATTTCCAAGAACCTGCTGCTAGGAAGAGAAAAGGAAGAAACATCACAGTAGGCACAACAACAACAATAACCAACTAAACCAACAAGCTTCGAGATGATCCAAGATTTCTTGCAGGGCATGTCCATAGCAGTAGAAATATCCCATATAATAGATCTAGGAACTTATGCATTAAGTCGAGCAGTAGAAATATCCCATATAATAGATCTAGCAACTTATGCATTAAGTCGAACCAAACACGTTCATTATTAGTGTCATAGCGTTTAATACAAGCACAACTTGTGTATTAAACTAGTAACGCAACATAATTCGTATATAACTTATTAAATGAATGAAGAATCATGTAATCTATAGACCTATTTAATAACATAGTGAAAAATTCTCTTTGCTATAAAATGAAAATATAACCAAAAAATTAGGACATTGAATAAAAATTATGAAATGGCTAAATTTTCCATTTCATCTCAACATGGCACAAATGTCTCTCACTTTTGGTTTCATTGTAATATAATAAATTGATAAAAATGTTCAAATTGATTTAAAAAAATTATCCATAAGGTAGTAGATTATGACATGAGCATAATTAAGATTAATCTAAATCTTATTTGTTCTAACCAACCACCATTTGACACCTAAGTAAATATGTCTGAAATGAGCTTGCACGGGCTAACTCCAATGATTCAGAAAAGAGTTCCATACATAGGTCTTGTGTTTGACTCTCTCATATAGAAAATTCGGACTTAACCAATAAGAATTGCTTGCGGCAACAATTAGTTGACCTTCATATTTGACAGGTTTTAACACCATGAGGAATTTTGTCAAGTTAAGAATTTAATAGATAGTTTCTCTATTAAAATAAAATAAAATAATTATACGTTCTATATACCAAAAAAATAAAAATGAAATGCAAACCTTTATTAATTTTAATTCTATAAAATTAGGTAAGTGAAAATAAGAGCCGACTTTGGTCCCCAAATAGGTCAATTTGACCATGTCTGATCAAGTGGGCTTTAGAAGACCTGTCTAATAATTTGTTCCAATGTGGAACCAATCTTACAACCAAACACTATTGGCCTCACTTATGATCTGACATGTCACTTGTCTGCATCAAACATCTAAAAACACTCTTCCAAATCCAACATTTCTATAACTAATTAAAAATACCAAATGGATAAATTAATAAATTATATATATATATATATATAGTAATGAGTTTTTATATTTATATTTAAATATAAATGTATTTTAAGGAATATATATTTATATATTTAGTTAGCTAATTAAACACACACACAAAAAAATAATAATAATATTACTTATCGTTACTGGTTAACGCAACAAATATAATGAAATAAGAAGGGCATTTACATAATTGGGTTAATTTCATTGACACCCCCTCAGGTTTGGCCAAATATCATACAGAAATATCTTTCGAAAATTACGATCACTTAGACCCCAAATCACTTTTCCCTTAAGTTTACCGTCAAAAAATCATAAATGACAATTTTACACCTATTATTTTAATTCATTTTAAATCAAAATATCAACTAACTTAAAAGACAATTTTACCCCTCATTAATTACCTTTGACACCCATCTACCCCACTTATGTGAATATCATTCTCTCTTTTGACCATTTGGCTGAAGGACCTCTCTCTACGTTTCACTAAGCTCGCATGTTCCTCTTCTCCTCCTCTCAATATGATCATCAGAATCATTCCAATCAAATCTCTTTTCTGGGTTTAAGAATTGGTAAATCCAAAGAGAGAACGATCGAAGGTGCTAACAGCTTCAAATCGTAGACGGCGATTTTCTGGCTCTCACCATGCAATCGTTGACGGCCATCTCGTAAATTTCTGCAATACTTCTTATATCTCTGTATCTGGTTCCAACTTTCCTTTAATTTCTTATTACTTCTTTGCACAAAACCCATAATCAAAATCTTTCAGTATTAGAGAACTGGTTGATTTCTTTGAAATTAAACTTTATTCCCATTCCAAATTATTAGAGAACTGGTTGATTTTCTTGAAATAAGAGTTGTAAATAATAGAAATAAGTTTTTCCATGCTTGAACCTTACCAATTCATTCTCTATCGAGGCTTGTTCTTGTGACGACCCGAACCCCAAGGTTCGAACCGTTAGCCGGGTCCTGACTCGAACCTGAGGTCATCAACGTCAAACTCATCATTTCTAGGGTCAAAACAACACATTTAGGATCAAAACTAAGCTCTCTCAAGGTTCCAAGCAAACCCAAGAGTCAAGAGTGGATAAACGGGGAGAGAAGAGCAAAGTGAAACCAACCAGTGCATTTCGGTCAACCGATGGAGAGCTTCGGTCGGCCGAAGCAGGCCCTTCAAACCGGTCGACCGATACTCTTCTTCGGTTGACCAAAAGTGAGATCCTGAGAGCTGGAAGAAGGTTCGGTCGACCGATGAGCCATTTCGGTTGACCGAAACAGGAGATCCCGAGAGCCGAAAACAGTTCGGTCAACCGATGAGCCATTTCGAGACTCCTTCGAGTCCTGATCCTGCAATTGTTTTGCTGCACATTGGAAATGTGATACCCCTCGGATCTGAGACACGGGTTGATCAGGCCCAGGCCCAAACTCGAGGGATATCGAATAATTAAAGTATTTTAAATCGAACACAAAATACAAAAATGATTTAAGAAATAAAATTAAAAGCTGAAAGAAACTAAAAGAAAACCTTATATTATAAATATTTTAAATCCGATAATCCAAACCACCGATCCATACAACTCGGGAATCCTTCTAGAGGATTCCTAATAAAAAGTCTCGAACTGGAAATAAAACATAAAGCTAAACATAGAGAGTGGTCCTACGTAGTCGGTGGAATGGAAATCTGTATCTGCTCTGCACGATCAACCTCTAATTCTGGAACTGCCGAGCACCTGAAAAATAAAGGAGTGAGTCAGGCCCACATGCAAGTCCTGATCTACTACGATCCAAACAGTAATTCGATACGCAGATACATCCTAAAAAGACTCAACAATATCTAGAGTAGTCTATATATGTATATATAGTGCACACTATAAGACGCTCGCTAGTCCAGTAGGTTTGTCTCAGCCTGAATAGAAGGCAACATGCGAATACGCACCCGAAGGTAGGCATGCGTACCTAGACCTACCAGGGAACAACAACTATGTCCAGTTACCCATCTTAGACGATATACGCGCCCTAACCATGGTCCTGAGATTCAAGCTCATACCATGGCACATATAATAAATATATAAAGTCCGTACTCCTAATACAAAATATCATCCATCTGTATAGTGGTCTGATATATGTATAACAAATCCATCCTGAAACCATAATAGGTCATTCAATTTATTTGATTGACATGACACAAGTAGGTGATGGACTTAACCTTTATGGTTAATCCATACCTTAATCCAAATTAGGTAGGACTTAATGTTTTGAACTAATCCATTCCCAATATAGGTAGGTCTTAGTGTTTTGAACTAAGCCATCCCTAATATGACATCGTCCCATACCGGTTCATATATATCCATATAAGTAGGACTTAGCCTTGTTATGGTTAATCCAACTCATTCTAAATTAGGTAGGATTTAGTACTTGAACTAATCCATACCTAGTATGTCACCGTCCCATACTGGTACATACAATCCTCCAGTTAACATAGTTGATAATACAATACTAAATAGTTATCAACCATACTCCAAGTTATGCACAAGATATATGAATCCATATACATAAATATTAAGCATTCAATACAAGGCCTAAAAACCATATCCAATCTTGTAAACTGTTATAATATATGCAAACATTTACATCCTCCAACAAGATCCATGAATTGATACAATTTAATACAATTTAAGTACCAATTAAGTCCAACCTAAGTATAGTTGATTATAAATAAATCACCATACTTAAAACACTAAGGAAACATGATTATATATATCATTGAATCATATAATAAAAATCTGCTAAATTCCAGTGTACAAAACTAGCAAAATAGTGAGCAACACCCTAGTTTTTCTTTAACTTTGTATTGCTTCATCCCTTAATCCAACTACAAACTAATGTTTCACCATTATTTTTACAGGTCTACAGTAGTCATCCCTATCCTTTAAACCAATTTAAACTGATCAAAACACCCCACGCAGTCAAACAGTGCCCAAAAAACAAAACTGGAAGACTGTAGGTGAGAGCAGGCTCTTGAAAAATGCAGAGCCTGTTCTTCTTCAACAATAGTCGGCTCCAACCCCTTAGGAGCTGGCTCCTAGCAAGGTAGAGCTGGCTCCACACCTTAGGAAGCCGGCTCTAAGGTTAGGAAGAGGCGGCTCCTCCTCCTTTGGAGCCTGCTGTTCTCTTCTTAGATGCCGCCGACTGTTTCTGTGTCTTCTCCTCCAACTCCGGTGATTAACGGAGCCTCTGTGATGTTTTTAAATCTTTGTTCTAGGTTCAAACTCAGTCCTAGATAAATTTTAAATCACTGATATGTAATGATAGCATACATAGAACATAGGTTTAGAAACACTAATCACAGAAACTTAGTCTGAAATTGTAAGCAACCCACAACAGATTAATTGGGTGAATTTGAGCACTATTTTAAGTACTTATTCTAGAGCTTGTTTAATGTCTTAGACAAATCCTCCAACATAGATATACGAT